AGGCACGGCTTAGGGCGAGGCAATTGCTGACCTCTGGCACATCGAGTGTTGTAGCTTGTAAGTGAACAGGATCGGCCACAGTTCTAGGAAGTCAATCAACTACTGACCTCTAGCTCGTCGAGTATTGCAGGAAGTGAGCAAGATGAACCACGGTTCTAGAGCGAGGCAGCTACTGACCTAGGACTTCCTGGGCATTTCAGCATGCAAGTAAACAAGATTAGCCACAATTCTAGGACGAGGCAATTACTGACGTTAGGCTCACTGGGTGTTGCAGATTGTAAGTGAACAGGGCCAACCTTGGCTCCGGGGCGGGGCAATTGCTGATCCAAGGCTCCCCGAGTGTTGTAGTGGGTAGGCGAACAGGATCAACCATGGGTCTGGGTCGAGGTGATGGCTAACCCACGGTTTCGTGGCGTAGGGAGTAAGTGAACTGGATCAACTACATTTCTGGGCGAGACAATTGCTAATCTCTGGCTCGCCGAGTGCTGTAGGCAGTAAGTGAACTGGATCAGCCACGTTTCTAGGGCGAAACAATTGCTGACCTCTGGCTCGCCGAGTGTTGTAGTCGGTAAGTGAGCAGAATCAGCCAGGCACGGCTTGGGACGAGGCAATTTCTGATCTCTAGCTTGCTGAGTATTGTAGTCGGTAAGTGAACAGGATCGGGTGCGGCTTGGGACGAGGCAGCTACTGACCTCTTCTTCGCTTGGCCCGCTGAATGCTGTAGCGCGTAAGTGAATAGGATCAGCCCATGGCCTTGGGGTGAGACAGCCGATAACCTCTGGCTCTCTAAGCACTGCAGTTTGTAAGCGAACAAGGCTAGCAGCGTTTCTAGCACAAGGCAATTGCTGACCCCAGGCCTCCGAGTGTTGTAGATCGTAAGTGATCGATACCAGCTGTGATCGCAGGACGAGAAATATTGCTAACTTCGGGCCCGCTGACTCGGCGCTGAGTGTTGTAGTATGTAAGTGGGCAGGGTCAACCACAGTTCTGGGAGTCTGGGGCAAGCCAATTTCTGACATTTGGCCCGCTAAGGGTTCTAGATTGTAAGTGAGCAGGACCAGCCACAGTGATAAGATGAGGCAATTGCTTAACTCTAGCTCGCTGAGCGGTGTAGGGGGTAAGCGACCAGGGTCAGCCACTGCACTAGGACGAGGCGCCCACTAACTACTGGCTTGCCGAGTGCTGTAGGGAGTAAGTGAGCTGGATCAACCACGGTTCTGGAATAATATAACGGCTAACCTCCGGCTCGCTGAGCGTTGCAGGACGTGAGTGAATAGAGCCACCAACTATTCTGGGATGAGACAATCGCTGACCCCTGTCTCGCCTGGTTCGCTGAGTGTTGTAGCTTGTAAGTAAATTGGATCAATGGCGCTTTCGGGACGAGAAAATGGCTCACCACTAGCCCGAAGAGTCTTGTAGCTCGTATGTAAACTTGATCAATCGCCGTCCCGTGACGAGGCAATTGCTGACCCCTAACCCTCTGAGAGCTGTAGGAAGTAAGTAGCCAGCATAATCAACGTTTCTAGAAAGAGCACTTTCTGACCTCTATCTTGCCTAGCTCGCTGAGCGTTGTAGCACGTAAGTGAACCTGATCCAGAGCAATTCTAGGACGAGACGATTTATGACCTTAGACTCGCTGAGTACCGCAGTGGGCAAGTGGACAGAATCAACCACGGTCTCGGGACTCGACAATTTCTAACCTCTAGCTCGCTAGGTGTTACAGTATGTAAGTGAACAGAATCAACCAGATCTCTGTCACCGGACAATTACTAACTCCTGGCTCGTTGCGTGTTCTAGCATGCAAGTAAACGAGATCATCTAGTTCTGGAAGTAGGCAATTACTGACCTCTGGCCCGCCGAATGTTGCAGGAAGTAAGTGAACAAGATCTCAAACGGTTTTGGGAAATGGAAATTGCTGACCTGTCTCACCCGGCTCCCCGTGATTTGCAGGAAGTAAGTGACGAGGGCCAACCGCGATTCTGGGAAACAGCAATTGCTAAACTCTGGCTCGCTGAGAGCTGCAGTTTGTAAGTGAATGGGATCATCACCTGTTCTGGGACGAGGCAAATGCTGACCTCTTGCTCGCCTGGCTTGTTGAGTGCTGCAGAATGTAAGTGTACAGGATCAACTGCGGTTCTAGGGCGAGACAATTACTCACTTCTTGCTCCCCGTGTGTTGTATGATAGTTGGTAAGTAAACAGGGTCAACCCCGGCTCCGAGGCTAGACAATTGCTGATCTCCGAGTCGCCGAGTGTGCAGTTTGTAAGTGAACAAGATCAACCACGGCTCTCGGATGAGGCAACCACTGACCTCTGACTCGCTGTACGCTGTAGGGGGTAAGTGAGCAGGATCAACCACAGTTCTCTAATTAAATGCTTTCTGACACCGGGCTCGCTGTGTAGCGCGTAAGTGAACAGAGTCAACCACGACTCCGGGACGAGACAACCGCTGACCTCTGGCTCACTGAGAGTTGTAGTTTGTAAGTGAACAGGGCCACCGGCCGTTCTAGGGCGCGACAGCTACTAATATCTCACCTCCCGAGTGTTGAAGGTGGTAAGTCGACTTACATAAGCTACATTTCCTCTGTTGTCTGTTGCTTCCACTGTGCTGATATGTATACCTCGCTTGCAACTACAGCTTGTATGCCATCCTAAGGCCTGAGTGAATGGTGCTGATTCTATACTAATTTCACGCCTGCGTCCCTTCACAGGGGTTAAGCCTTGCCAATCTCAACATCCTACTTGGTCAGATGGCTAACCACACTATGCGTGCGCCTCATAGTTTGTATGGAGCCCTGAATCCTCTCCCCTACGAGTTGTATCGGTACTTACCTGCTATTGCCTTACAGCTCGTTAGTAAAACTCTTGTTCCCTATCCGAGCTATCCCTTCTTCCCCCGCTAATACGTACTCCATCCCCACAACCATTCGGCCAACATAGCGTGTAAGTAATATCATTCTATCGCTACTAACCGCTCTCTGCCCTGCATACCAGTTAATCTTCCCCGCAGCCGGTAAGTTGCTCGAGTTTACTATCCTCCCCCTCATCCCGATTCACCATTGACCCCATGTTAGTTTTGCATCCCGGACTCGCCAGATTTGCATACCTCGTCCACCCGGGGTGTGACCCCCCTGCCCTACTGGGACCGGCCGGAAAGTGGTGAGCATTCTATCGTGACTTTTAGCCAATAGCCAACCTTCTTTGTAACCGCCTTGTGGATTAGAAACCGATAGCGACCTATTCGATGGAGGCCTGCAATTAATATAAGATGTTTAGTGGCTCCAGGCTGCTGTGGTTTCTGGTTTCACCATGCGGTTCTTCGTTGGAAAAATATATTACAGTGCAAGGATGATATCTCTGTCAGGGTTTAGGAATTCGGGGGGGGGGGGGGTCTGTAGTTTGTAGTTTGTCTTGCTTCTATTACAGCTATACTCGCATCTTCAGAACTTGATTGCTTCGCAAGAATGTAACCATCTGAGCCTTCAACAAAATGACCGATACCTGAACCATAGGGGCCTGAAGCTCGGCAGGGAACTGAAGCCGATATGGTAACTTAATAAACTAACTATCGCAGTGTATAGATCGGGTTTTTTATCCGTTCCCCACAGCTAAATTTGTAAGAGCGATCAACGGTTGTCCCATCAGTATGATTACATAGGTGGCTACCAGTCTCCGGGCGGATATGCGATACTGTATAACACGGCGCTAACCCACACATACAAATTGAGCAGTGGCGGACGCGGCAGATGAACCCATAGCACCAATGCTCCCCCCCTCACGTCCCCTGCGGAAGCAACGATAGCAAGCAGGGAAGCACAACGCTTGACCAAACGCCATCCATCACCACCACAACCACCCCCGCCAACCCCCCACCGTAATACCAAGATAGACATCAAGGTAAGCAAAACCTCAACAACCCCTCTCAAGATAACCAGAACCAATCGGTATTGCCAACAGACCCAACAGCCACATCGCAAGGACAACTCCGAAAGCCCCACCAAGATTATAACAAATAGGAAAAGGCACTGGTATCCTAAGTAGCACATTCATAAAAAGAACTGTTCATTCTGAGAAACATGGAAATGTATTTACGGCGAAAACCTTAGATGCGAATGGGGTGAATCCTCGAATAGGGAAACTGGGTATATAAGTTACAGTAGGTATCATAATGGACAGGGAAAATAAATCCCTAGCCTAAGCCACTACCGGTACCTAGGCGACGTCCTAGGAGCGGTGGAGCAGTCAGGGGATGTCCTAGTAGAAAGGCGCCACGAAACGACCATTAAGTTAATCCTTTTGTGCCGTTCAGCTCTCTAGCAGCTGGTGTTAAGGTGGCCCTGGTATTGGGTTTTCCACGGCATTGGCTATTATCATACACCGATTGAAATTTCCTAATGCCCCCCGCAATACACCAAACTGAATGTATGATTTCGGCTTTCCCACTGCCAGACTTAGGCCACTTCGGTCGTTGGTCAATATCAACAGTCGAGTGATATCACATGCATTACGCACCTTCGCTTCATATGGTAAAGTACCCGGCTCCGCTGATCGGTATATTTGGCCCGCTGATCTGTTTACTCGTACACGCACGGGAAGCTCTTGCGTCTTAGGAGATGAAAGCTCTTGCATTCGTTATCCTTCTTTTCTTATCATCGCTTTTCCCTTTGATAGAGCTAGCTATGCTTTCTTCTCCTTTCACTCCATCCCCTCTAGTTAGTCTCTTCGCTTCTGTTCATTTCTCTTCTCTTTTCCTCACCGCGCCACCTCTTCTCTTCTCCATGCTACTGTCACCCCCTCAGACTTACAAATTATTTTCCTGTACCCTTTATGCGGGAGACAGTGAATTCCGGATATATGTCGCCGGTTCTCGGTAATCCTCAGTCGTGCCGATGTATCGGATAACTGGGTGCCGGTGATACAACAATGTGCGTGTGCTTGTGTAAAAATCACTAAAACTTTTATGATACCCCCAATAATAGTAATAATATTATCGTACACTCCCTACTCCTCTTCCATACTCTCCCACCCATCAGGGCCCTCACCATCCCCACCCCCCACCGTAACACCACCATCCTCCTCCTCATCACTCCCGTCACTACTATCTTCCACAGCGCCGACAACTCTCTCCTCCCTCTCTTCCCCAACCACCCCAGCAACCCTCCCAGCAAACGCCCTCCTAACCCCGGCATTCGTGCTAGTATCCCAAACCTTCACAATGCCCTTACTCCCAGCAACCGCAAGCCTAAATCCCACCTCCTTATCCGGCGCAAACCGAGCGGAGAAGATCTTTCCCAGATCGAAATCCCTCGAAACCACCATCGCCGGCCCCCCGCCCGTATTCTCCGCCCGGGCATTCCACAGCTTGACGGACCTGTCTACAGACGCGGTGACGATAAACCCGGGGATGACAGGGTTGACGTCGAAAGCGGAAAGCGATTTGTCGTGTGCATTCAATGTCCAGACTGGCTTTGACTGCGCTAGCGTGGACGCGGGAGGAGAGTTGCGGGAGTCGTATAGGTAGAGATTCCCAGACTCGGTGGATACGTAAAAGTAGTGGTCATTGTGTGGGTCCCAGCGCACATCTTCCACGTCCGCGTCCACACCCCAGCGCGGGTTTGTACTAGTGGGGTCCGGGGAACGCATGTCGGACCAGACGATCGTGCGGTCGTAACTGCCGCTGAGGATGGTTGTTGCAGAGCTAGGGTGCCAGGATAGTGCGCAGATCTTGTCAGTGTGTAGGGAATTGTAGCTCTTCGCGCACTTAGTTGTGGAGAGGTCCCAGAGTTTCACCGTCTTGTCGGCAGACGCGGAGGCAAGGAGGTTGCGGTGCTGGCGGTTACCGGAAAGGGAGAGGACTGCGTCGATGTGGTAGTTATCGTTTACCTTGGGAGACTTCTTTTTCTTGCCTTTCTTCTTCTTACTCTTGCTGACGGAGGCGGGTGAAGGCTCGCTGCTGGCTCCGAGAATGGCGTTTGGGAAGAGGCAATCTACGAGGTCCAAGTTCCAGATCTCGATGTCTGGGTCCATAGTCCCGATGGCAGCATAATTTCCTCGAGCGTCTTTGTTCTCCAGAACGCTAGCGCCGCCGACGGGTATGTCGAGCCATTCTAAGCAGAGGGGGATCGCAGGAAGCATAATGTCATGGTGAACGTATAAATTGTCAGCTTCATCCTCATAGACGTAGACCTCTAGATGGGCGATGTCGTCTTCTGTTTTAGCGACGAGAAGGAGGTTGTCTGTTCCCAGGACTTGGAGCTCTTCTCGCTCTTCATCGTCGTCTTGCTATGGGCTGTTTATTAGTACTTTTAGGTCGTGGAATTGTGCGGGGATACATACTAGGTCCATAGTGATGTAGGGGTCTTGTTCACCAGGCTGGTAGTATGCTAAACCTTTGATGTTTCCAAACATACCCATGCCTGAAAACCCGCTTTTCAGTGGACAATTAGAAGTGTATAGAGAGAGGGAGACAAACTCTCGCTGTCTGCAGCTTCTGCCTCAGTGGGCTCATCATAATTATCTAAATCATATTCTCTCAGATCGTCATCGTCCCTACCCCAAATTAGTATCCCTCACAACCAGAACATATATGTCCAGAGCAGATACTTTTCATCGCCAACCTCTTTCATATCCTCATCTTTGTCGACAGCCTCCGCCGCAGCACCATTGGACTCTCCATTCTTCTCCCCCTCTTCCTCCTCCTTGCGTCCATCACTACCAGCAGCTTCCGCCTCTTCTAAACCCTCCTTTGCATCCTCAAGATGTAATCTCGCAAGGTCGGCAATCCGCTCAAACTCTTTCTCATCAATGTCGTAACGTTGCGGGAATTGGGCGGCAAAGCCACGGGGCACCCAAGTCGTTGCTGTAATCATTGGCAATGAATGCCAATTGTTTGTTTCTTGCGTTGTTATATGTCGGGGAGGAGAGTTTGTAAGACTCGAAATAGAGAGGTATGCATACCACTTTTTCCTGCCTAGGGAAAGAGAAAATATAATAAAGCGAGCGCAAAGTTAGTGGGGTTGTACACAACGCCAAGACTTCACACTTGGCAGAGCCGCTTATCAACTCCCACTTGAATCAGTCAGAAAAAAATTAAAACCAACAATCCTCAAGTTCACAACTACGAGATTCTCCATTCAATAGATAGAAACGATTCGCCTAACAACAATTAAGCCATGGGAAAAATCAAGAAAACTTCGACTTCACAGTCCTCTTCAAGAACCTTCACAATTCCAAATAAGCTCCACAGACAAGTACACAATGCCCGAGTAAAATCTGCCGTCGAATCCGCAAAACGCAAAGAGCGATTCCAACGCAAGAAGGACGAAGACCGAGACCCAACTCTTCGCGAGGAGCGCTTGAAGAAGAACATTCCAGCGACTCTTGAGAGGAAGCGAGTATGGGACGAGCGAGTCGAAGGTGGAATCCCAAACCGCATTGAGAAGCCATCGGCGGAAGAGGAAGAAAGGGCCAGTAAACGGCGAAAGGCCCGAGAAGACGACGAAGGGGAAGACGAAGAAGCCAAACTCCTAGCAGCGCACGAGAAAGCGCAAGCCGAAAAAGCGGAAGAGGAAGAGACAGCAGCGTTATTCCCAACACTGGAGACATCGCCTAGCACCTCCGCTCCGAAAATCCTGATCACCACCTCGAGGAACTGCCATGTCCACGAGCCCGCCGAACAGCTCACCCAATTATTCCCAAACTCGACATATATCCCCCGTGGCCGCGAGCACAAGTTCTCCATTAAGGAGATCAGCGCATTCGCCTCAAACCCAACAACCACAACCTCATCCGGCCGTCCGCGTGAGCCATACACACACCTACTGGTGGTTAACGAGGACCGGAAGATCATAAATGCACTCACAATCGTTGTACTCCCCGCGGGGCCAACCTTTCACTTTAGCCTTACAAACTACGTTCTTCCAAGGCGTATCAGAGGGCACGGGAAGCCCACGGACCACGTTCCCGAATTGATATTGAACAACTTCCTCACGCCGCTAGGGAAGGTTACATCTAGTCTTTTCCAATCCATGTTTCCAAGACAACCCGAGATCCCCGGGCGGCAGGTTGTTACTTTGCACAATCAGCGGGATTACATCTTCTTCCGCAGGCACAGGTATATTTTCCGAGATAGGCGCGAGACGGAGAAGCCGGTGGGCTACGGGCTTGAGGATGGGGGCAAAGATGGCGGGAACGGGAGCAAAGGGAATGAGAGTATCCCGATCAGGGTTGGGTTGCAGGAGCTTGGACCACAGTTCACGTTGAAGCTCAGGAGGGTGGAGAGGGGGATTAAGGAGGGGGCTGAGTGGGAGTGGAAGGGCAAGATGGAGAAGGATCGGAAAAGGTTTCAGCTCTAGACTGGTTTCTCCGCTTCCATTTATTATTGTATCTCCGTGCTGTTGTGTTTGGGGGATTGCGGAAAAGTTTCGCTCTGCGTGTGATATAGATATAAAAGATATAAATCGGTAATTCTTCATTCATCATTCATTATCATCGGTCGTCAATCGCTTTTCCCATCACTTGACAAAATTTGGCCATCATGTGATATCGAGAGACCCCTCCTCGGTTACCCTCCCCACCGCGACCACCAGCACTACTAAAATCTTTCACATCTATCCTCCAAGCACACAACACCCACAATGCCCCCCCGACCACCCCCAATGGCAACAATAGCCAAAAGAACCTTCGCCACAGGCACTACCTTACAAAAGGGCCCTAACAGCGCTCGCGGCGCCATGTTCGCCTGGCTCTCCGGCCCCGGCGGAGTCTTCAAACAGCCCACCGGTGAACCGCAATACATCTCCTCCTACGACCGCTCAACCTGGGAGCGCAAGGACAAGACCCGGAATCCGGACGCCTTCGTACAGCCCTACCCCTTCAACCGGTACTTCAAATCGCAACCGGTTCTCTCCGACGCCTTCCGCGAGGAGATCTACACCCGCGTCAAGCACGGCAACCACTCCATCCGCCAAGTATCCGCCGCGCTAAGCGTCAGCATCGAGCGCGTCGCGGCGGTGGTGCGACTAAAGCAGGTGGAGAAGGAGCACGTCGCGAGGGGCGGGAAGTTGAGTACCTTTTTGACCAAAGCGCTGGATCAGATGTTGCCCGTTATCGATGCTCCCAATGTCACTGATGGCAGGAGTGGGAGTGGTGGTGGGGTGTTCGAGAATATCCAGGAATTACCGATCCATTCGTTGGCCGGGAGACAGACCTTTGTTCCGACGAGTGAGAGTAGGGAATTCACCAGGGCCGATGCTGGGAAGGAGTTTGGATTGCCGGCTGCGGATGTGATGGTCCCGCATCCCGACCTTGTCACACTTGCCAAAGAGCGGTTCGAGAATGTGCCGACTACGAAGAGGGCTGCGCGCCAGGAGGAGCGGGACCGGATGGAGAAGAGTCGGCGCAAGGCGGAGAAGGAGAGGGCTGATGAGAAAAAACGGAAGGAGAAGGTGCTCGAGGTCGGTAGGTGGAAGTGGTGTGTTAAGGAGGCGGAGACCGGGAAGGTTGGGTTTAGGTATGGCTTCCCGTTGCCGGATCGGAAGAAGGGGCATGTCAAGATTCCTACGCATATTAGTTAAGTTAGGATGCTGGAGGAGTGCGCGCTTTATTGTGAATATTTTCTTCTGTGCTCGGGCGCGGCTGTATATAGGGCTGGCGCTTTGTTATTGTACCATAGATCTTTTTTTTTCCCACACGAAAGTTGAGAGGCGCCGCTACAATGTTCTCATGATGGGAGCAAAGTCTGAAATCATAAACACATCCCTCACTCGAGCCCAATTCTCACCTGGACTTCACACCCGCCCTCAACCCCCTCCAACTATCCACTCATCACTTCTCCCTCTCCCCATCCAGTACAATACATCTACATAAATCGCCAACCCAACCACACCAGAAACCCACCTCCCCAACACTACCCTAAGGTACCGATACTAGAAGAAACCCATGCCAGGAGCTTACGCCAGGCAGGAACGATACCATAGGAAGTCCACAGTTTGTCAGAAATGTGTTCCCCGGCAGGTTTTGCAGAGTACATGTTTGTCCACCGCCTTCGCAAGTAGTTTTCACACCATGGCTTCAACCGCTTGGTTCTGACACTTGCCAACCTAACTGTTCCATTCACTCCGAGGCAAAGCCCTTTGATCACGGGTGGACGGGGTGGTGGTGCATCTCTCCAGAGTATTGTGAAGCTCGGTGATGATCCGCGAGGAGCATCTTGTGGGACTTGTGACGCCTCTTGCTAACGGATTCTTCAACAATGCCCTACCCGCCTGCCCATGCGTATCTGGAGGTTTCACGATCGCAGGGTAGTATGATACATATCATACTCATGTGGAAACGTCAAGTCTGCAATGCCATATATCATACGTACCCGATACTATCCCTTCCCTTCCCTTCTCTACCGTGCCGCGCCCCAGCGACCAGAAACGACCCTCCCGCTATTCAAGTCATACCCCACGTATGACACCCCCCCCAAAAAAAAACCCCCCGAGAATACTCACCACCATTCACATCAAAAGATCAGCCAGTATAATACAATACTCGACTTAATTCATCGGTTGCGGTCTATTGAGTAGGCAAAATAGAAGTTGAAGTTTAACAAACCCACCGCTACCCTTCCTGCGGGTGAGAAAAACTGTGAGAGGTTTGTCTTGTTTTTTTTTTTTTGAGAAAAAAAAAAACCGAGTAACGTAGGACCTATACCAATTCCATCCCTAGATAAAAAAAGAGAAGGAGAAAAAAAGGGAGGGAGAAAAGGTTGAAAGAAAGGGAAAAAAAAACTCCAGGGAAATTGAAAGTGATTTATGATACATTGTGTCTTTTCCTTCGACCAGTGAGGTGGTGGCTGGTTGTTCGAACAGGGGTATATCTCGAATATTGGTGTCTTTTTTCCTTTGATCTTCGTGCATCATGGTCGAGCAATACTGTTGCCTGACTTACCCGTCTTACTAAACACTCATCATCACACCCGCCAAAGCCAAAGCGAAAAAGAAAAAAAGAGCAGAAAAGATAGCAAAATTTGAATCGTGAGAAAAGAGGATACCATAATGGACGGAGACAGGAAGATTACACACGAATAACAAAGCATGGCCGGATTAAAAAAAAAAAAAAAAAAAAGACAAGTTAAACATAAAGAGAATTCAGAAATGAGGTCTCTCATTTGACAAATACTCGTTCCCGCACTGACTGGGGTCACTGTTCCTTATCCGGGTCATGGGTGGTGGAGAGCTAGCCTCCGAAAGTGTGGGATTTTTTCTCATTAGTCCATGCTCTGTTCGAGGGAAGTGTTTTTGGTGGAACTTCGTTTATCGGATGGCGTACGGTGGTAATGATATATCGGGAAGAATGGATGAGGTTATCCTCTCCAGCTTGGTTTTTCAATTTTTTTTCTTAATTTTTGTCATTTGTTTGTTGTTTGCTCGCCTCAATTATTCAAACGCAGACAAGAGGATGCTGGAGAAATACTCCGATGCCTCCTTGGCCTGCTTCTCCTGCCATTCCTTCTCCCACTGCATCACCTTCTCTTGGATCTCCTTCTCGTTGGTCATCCCCTTCTTGCGCGCCCTAGCCGAGAAATTCGCAAGACGAGCGGAAGTCTTCGCCTTCTCGGGGTTCTTCTTGCGATAGTCAGAGGAAGACAGACGATTGCGCTCGATGGGGGTTCCCTTCGGTTCCGCTTCCTCCTTCATGGCTGCGTGCGCAGCTCCATGTGCAGCTTCGAACTCCTCCTTGTCGGGGAGGCCGCGCGTAGAGTAATACTTCAGGTGGTGCCAAAGTGATTGCCTCGGGTTCCTGCCGGTGAACGTCTGGCCGCAGCCCTTAACTGGACACTTGAGAGTCGTGGGCGCGGGAGAGGCTGAGCCAGACTTCTCTACACGGCCAGACTTGACGGCACGAGATCTCGGCTTCGGGGTATGGGGTTTGCTAGTGGTGCCCGCAGTGGCAGGCGCGACGGAAGAGGAGGAGGAGGATCTATGCGCGGACGCCGACGCCGATGCCGCAGAAGACTTGGTCTTGGCAAACTTTGGCGCCCTAACTATCGGTTCCGGGGAGTCGGGTGGCTCGTACTCTGATGCAGAGGAAGACGATTGATAGCCGGTGTCTTGCATGTCGTCGGTGGGAGGAGTCGAAGACCTCCTTGATTGCAGCTTTGCCCCCTCTTCCTGGTCGGCCCCCATGCCGTCCCCACTCAGTCTGTTTTCGAGGGGTGGAGATGTGGCAGTGGTTGTGGTTGTGGTAGTTGTTGTGGTAGCGGTTATAGTAGGAGTTGTGTTGATTGGAGCGATGGGTGCGACGGGCGCAACAGGCGCAACGGGTGCGACTGAGGTCATTTGAGCTATGGGCACCTTTTTCTCGACCTGGAGGGCCACGCCCGTGGGGTTTGTTGAAGACATTCTTTTCGGTAGGTGATGGATGGTGATTGTAGGTAGGGTCGCGTTGCGGACCTGAACCGGCGGTGGTGACAAGGGGAAGATAGATCGTGGTTAGTGTCTATTCCTAGGGGTGGATGGTGTGCCGGGTAACCTCAACCTCCAGACAACCCCTCTCAAGGAATATAATGACTTAGACTATGATAGGTAACAGCAGACCGGCTGGGGAATGGAGGTAAGGTTACTACTCGGGTAGGAGGTTCTCCATTGTGTGCGCAGCTCCATTACAACCGATTACTTCTCTTCTCCACAAGTGGATGATGGTTAGCTTGGCGAGCAGCAATCAGTTGTCGCTATAACACCTTTGTGTCCAACGACCGGCCCGAGTTTGGCCGCCAAATGACGGTGATGGAATGTAAGCAGTGGGAACGAGTCCGAACATGGAAATTTCCCGCTGTTTATTCAATTCCGAACCCAATCCCCCCTTCCTTCGTCCCCTTAATCCACCTGTATGCTAACACCCGCACCACGCCCTCAGCCAAACCTCAATTCCATAACTCAAAATATAAAAACCTCTGCCCAGCCCCGAACCTACGAGGGCTTCCTCTTGCCCATGACATTTACAAATATAATCCACGAGTGATAATTTGTGGAAGAAAATCCCCAGAGTGCGATATTTGAAGGGCCTGTTTTTGCCCGCCAGAAAATGGCGTTTCCGCGACTTTTATGGCATTTTTTGTTGCAAATGGGATACTTTAACATTCCACCTTTATGGTTACAGTTCAACTTACATGCCTCCCAATTGATTCCTACTTTCATCGTAATAGTTGATAAGGTAACTGCTATGTGGATATGGATTTCCCTAGCGCACCCCCATCCAAAGGGACCCAAAGTCCCAGCGAAGCCCAAGTTCGCAGCCTTCGCGACCACAAAAAAAAAAGCCGATTTACCGCCAAACAGGGCCCAAATGTATTCTACAATTCCCCCTATGCAGAAGACCGTTCTCGAGTGGCAGAGCCTCACACTCGAGTTACTGTACTCGCCGGTACACGACCAAGTGTTTGCACGGGTTCCCGCGTATGGATACGTGATTGCATGCCGCATCCTACCTAGCGCACCAAGGCTTTTCCGATGCCCCCTGCCGTAGAACTCGGCGACAACCTCCCGGCCTGATCCCTGGATCTGGACTACCGTAACTGTAGAGCTTTCTAGGCCCCTCTGAAATCACAACATCTCACTCGTCCAAGTATCCCCCCCCCCACCCGCCTGGTCGGGAAGTTTGAGGACCGTCTCGTTGATCTGTTCGTGGGAGCAATGTTCCGATCCAAACCTGTTAGTTTTGGCTTGCCCTCCCCCCGCTGACATTCCAAATTGCGTATGGTACATAAGCATGTGATGGCGGCGATGACTATCCAGGAGACATTCCATAAAAGTGTATATCGGTATATATTTGTTCAGCAGATGCTTCTCAATCCAGGCCTCACCGGACCTCAAAGGAAAAAACCAATTCCACAGGCACCCCCACCCACCCCTATCCGCCTCGGTCCCGTTGTGCTGTTGGGCAAAGTGGGGAACCTGGCGGGAAGGTATCACAACAAGTTAGTCTACCGTAATGCCAGGATTATGAAGACTTGGTAACCCCTAAAAAAAAAAACACTCCGGCCAGGATAACAAAACCGAATTGAACATAGGTTGCATCGCGCCCCTTGGCATATTTAATCAACCCCTGTCAATAGATACTCACAAGTACTCACTCGTCCATGCCAATCCGCGATATACTTGCTTGTTGAAAGTTCGTATTTGGATATTCCTCCTTCGCGCCAGAACCCGCAGAGATAGGGTCAGAAGTGTGTCAATGGCTCTTGGAAGGGTGCGGCTTCGATTACCACCCGCTCTGACTGTTCGCGCGTCGTGATTTCTCCGAGATGTTTACCATTCTTTATTATTATAGCCCTGGATTCGCTGACTCTTGGGCCATAAATTAAATTAACTCTCTTTGTTCTCGAACCTCCCGCGCAAAGTGCTTGCTTGGTGTGGGAGGGTCGGGGATTATCTACCTTGATGATATCATACTGCGCTTTATCCTGTTTCCTACTAAAGTTTCTACCCAACTGTCTCCCTATCTTCTCCGTGTTCCATAATGGAAACGCAGGCCCTGGGGGGGTCCTTTCACGAGTCCTCGCCCTGTTGTCCTCGTTTTGCCTGCGTTTTGGTCACTTATGTTAGTATCATAGTGTCAGCATTACCGCCACACTACAATATATCTCTCAGAACACCTAGCTTATCCGGTGCCACTCCAACTGATTTATATTATGATACCTTTCCCACCAACACAACTCACCGCTTTATAGACCAACTGATCAATCACTCTAGCTAGGTATATCGTTACACACTCACAACTTAACCTAGATATCAGGTTTCTCCCTCCTACCACTTGCTTCCTCCCAACCAGAATCTTTATGCTTCAGTGAGATGTCCGGAGGGTTGAGGTCCGGGACGGCCGGGTATCTAACCGCTTGTCCTCGTGAGGGGGGGGCACAGTTTGTGGGATAATACTGCGCTCTGTTCGGGGGTTTCACGGATCTCATGCCGGCGGTGGTGGGGAGTTTCGATTGGAATTGATATGATATGATTTGTCGGACGTTTACTACTTGGGATGTGGGCTGCCAACTGTTCGAACAACCAAGCGCGGGAAAAGCACAGGTGCTCCCGCCCACGTTGCAAATTCGAAGACAGATAGGAAATAGAAGCATTCAGCTCCAGGGGTCGAAAGAGCGCTTTTCTAGTCCAAGTTTCGTGCAGGTCTGCCGGATCTGCACGTAAAAAAGGCGTTACACACTCCGAAGTCCTTCAACTCGAAAAGCTTGCATAAGCGGTTTTCAATCCTGGGGCTGAATGCCTCTAATAGAAGTACTTGAGTATGAAGACCAGTATAATAGTAGAAAATGAGTTACCCAACCCGCTAGCAATGGCAAATAGGCTCCCCAATTGCACAAACCCTCATAGATATCATACTACGACATCTAGACACCTCGGAACAGCTTATTGTGGGCTGGATGATGATATTAAACAACCAAACTATGGAAGCAAAAAAAGTTATTGATCCATAACGATAACTTATCATTGAGCTCCAATCCCCCTCCACCCACTTCATTACCTCACAAATCAACCTGCATCTGCCTCTCAATTGTCAAGAACTTGAACTCGGGCACAATGAGATTCTCCTCCTCACCCTCGCCAGCAATCGGTATAGGACGATAATGCTCAAGCGGGCTGCTCTTGTGCACCCTTCCATTAATCACAATGACGTCCAGCTTCGAGTGGTCCTGCAAAATGGCGATGTCCTCCAGCGGATTCCCATTGACGAGAATGCAATCTGCGTAATAGCTTGGCTGGATCTTGCCGAGTTCGTGCTCGCGCATGAAGAGCTTGCCTCCTTCAGCTGTCGCAGCGAGAATCGCTTCCATGGGCGTGAAACCCAGGAGCTTGACAAAGTGCTCGAGGTCGCGGGCGTATGTGCCGTGAGGGGTCCAGGCAAAGCCATAGTCCCTGGGTTATGAACGTTAGTAAAAGGGGGAGGTGATAGGGGGGAGTAGGCGGTAGGCGGTAGGGGGGAACGGGAGGTATGGGAGAAGATTGTATTACCCTCCAGGGAGAATGGTGATGCCTCTACGGTGCATTTCTTTCAACCCTTTGATAGCGGTTTCAAGTTCGGTTCCGTAGCCAGCTTTTTCGGCCGCTGCTTGGGGATAACCGAATGCCGCTGCCTCGTAGACTACTAGTTGTTAGTGTTTGATCTCCCTGTATGCGTGGGATTAGACGTACGGGTAGCATACAACCAGTTCAGCGCTGGTACAACAACGACCCTATCCTTAGCTTTCTCTAGAAGGTCCATTCCTTCATCGTCGATGTAACTAGCATGAAATATGACGTCCACGCCATGCAAGATGCTCAACCTAACAGACTCCCTCGCACGCGCATGCGTACAGACACGCTTTCCATGCTTGTGTGCTTCATCAACGGCAGCTTCCATGTCTTCTGCAGAGAAATAACAGTCTGTTGCGGCTCTGATTTCCGTAACCTAGTTCCGTTCCATTACTACTATAATCTGCTAGAAAGGACCTAGGAAGAGTAGACCTACCGACTCACCAGAGATACTCAGCTTGATCTGATCCACACCCAGTTTAACATGCTCACGAATAACTTCCCTAATTTCCTCCGGAGTATTCGCATACGCAGTAATTCCAGGAACCAATTCACCATCCACCTTGGCGAGTTCCTGTCCATTAGCCAAACACCTTGGCCCAGGGATATGGCCAGCATTGATAGCGTCTCTGATGACAACGTCCAATCTCGGCTTCGCAGAGGCAGCGCCCCAGCACATGGTGTATCCCGAGTCAAGGAAACATTGAGCAGAGCGCATGGTAAGGAGGGTGTGCTCTTCGACGCCAAGCTCACCAAGAGCGCGGAGGTCTCCCCCGTTCCAGGTGAGGTGGGTGTGAGCGTCACATAATCCCGACATCAGAGTTCTCCCGCGACCGCTGAATACCCGAACTGTCGGGTCGCGAATGAGTGATTCGATGTTGGAAACTGTACCGACCTCTACGATACGTTCTCCTGTGATGGAATTTTAATTTTACATTTTATATTTTATAGCGCGGGGGCATAATGAAAGAGAGTGGAGCAGCAAACAAACCTTTAATCAGAACATCACCAGGATAAGGCTCTCTCCCAGTGGAATCCAGAATACGAACATCACGAAACAGAATTCTGCTATCTGGATGAGTTCCGGCAATTTCGTAGTTCTTCGGTTGCAGAGGATTCCCCGACATCCCGTTGACGGTGGTGGCATTGGCGGTTGCGCTTGCACTTGCGTTCTCGGTCATGGCAGGTAAGATGATTGAATAGTAGTCCTCTTTAACTTTCACTCAACTTTGACGTATTAGACAAGATGTGTGGTGGAGAGGAGAAGGAAGTAGGACGGAAAGGAAGAAGGCGTTCTGTGCACCAAGATAACTTGTGATCAACAAAATAATCTCCGGGGGGAGGTAACTCCTATCCACTCCATAATATTATAGACTACCTGATACCGAATGCCTCATTCTATCACGCAGCCTCACAAGGCCCTAGCAATTTCCCCTTTCATCGCCTTACCTAACCCCATCTCCCCTCTCCCCACCATTCAAAGGGAAAAAAATTACCATACAAGGAGCGGGGCAAAGTATTCGGGAATACAAAAGCATAAAAACACATACAGAGCGCATTATGCGGAGTGAAGTGCGTGTGTGCGGTGGAACGAGGGGCGATGAAATGGTCTATGGTGAGGGACCTCTGTACTCGGACATTCATGCGGACCAAAGTAAAAGTATGTTCATATGCCAAGTACAGTATTAATACAGGTTAATCTCTTTAAAAATCGCTGTTACCTGACTATGCCAAGGAATTTAACAGCAATTAACACGTCCGGGACATTCCCATACTCCAGCCATAGTTAGACATACTCTAAAGCCCTAATACCTCCACGAAAACTTGAAATATCCTTATTTTCTCTTTATCAATATGTACAGAATCACCTACTTTATCATCTACTAGAGCCATGATTCTCATCGTAGTGATTACTGGAAACCCTTTGAGGATTAGAGTTGAGCTAAATTTTCCTGGCAAAGTGCTCCGGCCACAGACGTCCCTCACCATAAGTTAGCCGATCGCTGCGACAAAGACAAATCTTCATGCCTTGGGTTCCTGGCCCTGCGAGGTTTCATGCACCCCGCTGGAGATTGCCGTCTAGGTTAATTTATGGCACTCGGGTAGTTTACATGCAGAAAGAAGGTGGAGGTTAAAGCCGTGGGAGTTTTGTGGGAGAAACCCCGCGATTTCTAACAGCTGCCAGTAACTTAGGAGAGGCGATATCATAGCCTTCTGGAGTTTCGATAAAGATACCGAGACCGATAATGACACAAGGCCATCTAGGCTCCCGAGCCAGGCCGCTCGCAAACGACGGGGAAGTCTAGGCGACATAGCGAGAATTCCTTGTAAAAGGCAGGTTGGGGGGAGGGATGGAAGGGAGGTGAGGAGAGTTTCCGAACCTGAACTGTGAGTTAAATAGAGATAGAGAGAGGGTGTTTTGTTTACTTATGTCGTCTCCATTCAACTTCTACTACCGGTATACAGGCACTTCTACACTCGAGGCACCGTACCATAAGTTACAATACAAACCCTTTGTGTTTGTGCGGATGTATTCACCGCTACCTAACGCGACGCTCTATGGGGGGCAAACCAAGCCAACACCTCACCAGCAGTGGATGCAAAATAGCAAACAGATATTCGAAATCGAGGTGGACCGGATGCGGGAAAGAAACGGATAGGAAGTATGATGAGGACGAGGTAGGAATCCAATGACTCCGGTTATTAAAAAGGATAAGAGTGAAGAATACCTGTTCCTGGAATCGACATCGAAGCGGGTAGCATTTGTCAGTACCGATTCTTTATAGATATTAAGCACGGTGACTTACTGGGGACTTATGATAATTGTGGGAGCTTTTGCGACTGCTCGACTGCTCAATATCTCTAGTCACCAGCTTTTTCAATGGTTTTTTAACGTTGACTATGATGCGCTACCCAGGAATCGTAATCGACGGGATAGTCTGCGGTGTGACCACATTTACTCCAGGGCACCCAGGTGAAGCAGATATGAGTAAGTTCTTTGGCGGTCGGAACTGCTCGCTGTAGGTATATCTTCACCCTCCGACTTCAACATTCATCTTTGGGATTCAGGGTGTTAAGTCTGGTGCTAACGACTTCTGTTAGTTCTGGAAGTTCATACCGAGAGACACTTAGATGAGGTTAAGGATGAGCTACGTGTAGTTCGGACGGAAAATAAGTGGCCTGGGCCAAAAGGAACTATATGGCTCAGGCGGGGGGGAATTCCTAGTGGTGATATAGAAAAGTGGTCATGGGATCTCACTCGGGACTCTAAGCCTGGTGAGCGCATTTCTTTCTCTTGGCCAAATTTCCCAGTGCATTTGTCACCAATAAATTGCCTGAAAGCTGATTGGCTCTCCCAACAAAACAGCGCTCTTCTCCGTATCTTCCCAATGGAGTATCCATCTCTCATTCCGAACTATGCTCAGGAGAAATGCACTTGTAGATGCTACCACAGTCCCAGGCACACTGGAGGCTGTACCTCCGAGAATTCCAGTGAGGAGATAAGGCGCTCCAGCCAACAAAATTTACCTATCGTACAAACAATGGACCTAATTAGGTGTTTCCGAACTCCGGAGAAGTTCGCCCTAACTTCAAACCCGATCAGCACCTCAGTATCACGAAGGGGACAAGTCCCTAAGGCGTTCCGGAGACCGGAAATGTGCTCTCCTCGATCCGTCAAGATTATCCCGAAACAGCAAACCTAGGAACGGACCACCGATTTTTTCCCCTGAGGAAAGGTTACCTTGCTCAGGTATGATGCCACTGCACCGCACATGTGTGCTAAGGCCTTCCGTCACGTTGACCACGGTAAATATCTGAGAAAAATCGGCACTACATAGTACAGTGGCTGCAATTGTGGGTACCGGATCCACTCTTTTTTCCCCTTTCTATCTCGACAGACTGAATCGTAGGACATGATTAGTATCTCTTTCCCTTTTGCCTGCCGCATGTCTTATTGTACGGCGTCAACACCAACCCTGGCCTGCTGTGGATAGTCATTATGCGGCAAGCAGTTACCGTAGGTAGGTAGGGCTCAATTGAGCCAGTAGAAGGAAACGGGAGTCGAAGGTGGCTGACTTACGCCCCCACAGCGGCCCACAGCTTTCCCACTCAAGTCTGTCTACTAGTGACTAAGTCCTATCGGGCACGGTGCAAATGATGCTCCCAGTTCCCGCTCGTTAGATGTTAGATCTTTGGCGTGTGGGAAGCAAGAAAGAATCCCTGCGCAAATCACCCAAGTGAACCTGTCTTTTTCCAGCAATTCCGTGATCCCCGATTCCGGACTCCCCGTTTAATTCTTCAGGTCGAGTGATAACTGGGTCCAGTGAAACTCCACCCAGCGTATGTAATAGTTGCATGGTCGCGGATTTGTACGGAGAAATAAATCCCAGTACCAGTTTTTCTGAGAATTCGGATCTCGGAAATGTTATTATGTTAGGGCTGGTTCTGCGGGTGGTTACATAGTGCGAGGAATGGTAGATGGTTTGGGATCGAGAAAGATCTATTAAAGGGAAGAACCTCCAGAGAAAAAAAGAGTCCTGATGGTATCAAAGAAGAGGAAGAACGCTACCGTATCGTTCTAGGCTTGCTCCGTCCGCTCACCCGCACCTACCGAGCCAATTAAATCATGACAGTCCCAGCCTCAACCCCCCTAACAAACTTCGCAACCTACATCCCTCTCAATTCTACACAAACGCGGGTCGGGCATTTGGATCTTGAAAGCCAGAAAATAACCCCTCTCTCTCATCCATCGGGAACTCCTCTTACAAACCTCTACGAAGTCATCTCAGCCGGCAAGAATGCTCAATTCGCCCCAACCTCCAGATTCGAACCTCCCCTCAAGCTCTCCTCTGTTACTCTTCTCCCACCGATATCAGGTAGGGATGTACTAGCTGTAGGAAAAAATTATGCCGAGCACGCAAAAGAATTCAATTCTAGTGGGTTCGACTCGAGCGACAAGATTGACCAACCAACACACCCAGTCATATTCACCAAACGGGCCACAAGCATTGTGGCATGTGGGAGTGAGATATTCCCACACGCGGGATGGACAGAAACTTTGGACTATGAAGGAGAGATTGGGGTAATTCTGGGGAAGGAGGGCTTTGGGATTCCAGAAAGTGAAGCTTTGGATTATGTTTGGTATGAATATTTCTCGGCTCGTTTTCGTCTGAAAGTCTTCGAAGCTAATGTTTGTTCATGATTGAGGGGATTTACAATCATAAATGATGTAACAGCCCGAGAAAGGCAGAGGGATCACAAGCAATTCTTTCTTGGAAAGTCTGCAGACACATTTTGTCCCATGGTGAGTTGACCCCTCTTCCAAATGCTCATCTAGACATAACCAATCACTCACAACTGCCAGGGGCCAGTTGCCGTACCAATAACATCTCTCTCGGACTACCAATCCCTGCGAATAACAACGAGCGTAAACAATGAACTTCGTCAAGACTCGAACCTCTCGGAACTAATATTCTCCATCCCCACCCTCGTCTCCACCATCTCGAGCAGCCAAACCGTTCAGCCAGGGGACGTGATTGCGACCGGAACACCAGCAGGCGTCGGGATCGGCCACACTCCCCCAGCGTACCTAAAGCCCGGAGACGTCGTGCAAGTTAGTGTGAGCAATCTCGGAACACTGACCAACAAGATTGGCACCCCCGGAAAAAGGCCACCACCAACCCCCCAGCAGTCACCCGCTCCACCGAAGAACTTTACCCAATTGACCACTCTCCGCAATAGAAAGCAGGTCTATATTGAACGCCACGGTGACCAAACCTCCTCTAATGTCATTATCTTTGTCCACGGCCTCGGCGCAAACACGACGTTCTACCATCCACTATTGTCGCCAGCATTATGCAAGCATAATCTAATCCTCTATGATCTGGAAGGTCTTGGCCAGACACCCACAGTAGCAAGTTCCGTCACTAGCATACCCACCTACGTTGACGACCTCGAAAATCTGATGTCCTCCCTCCCCCTTCCCCCCGCCTCTAAGGTCTCCCTAGTAGCTCACTCCTTCGGCTGTCTCATAGCCCTAACCTACGCCTCTAAACACCCCCTCCAAAACCTGATCCTCCTCGGCCCCGTACCCATACCCCTCAAACCCGCTCCCGCAGAAGCTGTCCTGAGGCGCGCCGACAAAGTCCGCGCAGAAGGCATGCTCCCACTCACAGAAACCATCATCTCCGCAGCTATTTCACAAAAGACTCGCATGGCGAACCCCCTAGCAGTAACACTCAGCCGGTCCATACTTCGCGGGAACGACGTGGAGGGGTACGCCAAGTGCTGCACCGCATTCGCGCAGTTCACAGGGGAGGGTATTACTTGGGATGGATTGAGGGTCTTTGGCGAGAAGGTTATTATTGCGGGCGATGAGGATAAGTCCGCGCCGCTCAGCGTTGTTAGGAAGACCGCTGGGAGAATTCAGGCTAGGTTGGTTGTGCTCGAGGAGGTGGGGCATTGGCTAGTTATGGAGGACTTGGAGGGGGTTGGGCGGGTAGTCGAGGGAGTTTTCTGTTAGGAAGTGTGATTCAACTCAGATGTTTTTGCACTGCAAATAAACGTCATGCCTAAGCTTACTTACTAACTCGCTGACTAAAAGATATCATGAACGACAAAGTGCACCAAATCAGATACAGGGCAAAAAAATTCAAAATCTCCAGCACCTATTCCTTTCACCCGAACTGGGAATAATAATAAAAACATGGAAAAACACACACGGATGAAAATAAAACTAGCTGGTGGGTAGGATGAGAAAGCAAGCAAGCTAGCGACTTAAGGCATAAGGATAATTTTCCAATAAGATAAACAAGGACGGGACCAAAAGAGAAAAAACATATCACTTTTCTTATTGCTCTTCTAAACGAACGGAGCAGAATAGAGTGGAATGGGTTTACACCAAGGGCATCGCACACTGCTGATTAAGATCGTCCTATCCCCCAATTTCAAATCAGTAAAACCAACCCAAGAAGGCAAGAAAGGGAAGAAAGGGAAAACCTACCCAACAAAAAGCCCCCGGCGAAACCCACTGGCTCAAATCATGCATATAACTCCCCTGCAGCCAATTATCCAATTCCATATCCTGCGGGTACATATCACCCAATTGCGCCGCTGCCACAAAGCCCGGATTCACTATCGTTGCCGCTGCGGCAGCCTGGTAGTACATTGATTCGGGAATGATACCTGTTGGTGAGGCGGTGATTGATTCGAGGTGGTAGGTGTTTTGGTGATGGGGGCCGGCGAATGAGTGAGTTGGGTAGAGGGAAGTGTCTTTGTACATTTGGTTTTGTTGGGGGGGGCGGTGGGGCGGTGGTGGGGCGGTGGTGGGGTGGTGTGTATAGGTTGTGTCCATTGCTTGGGTAGGGGGTTGTAGAGGTGCTACTGGCGGTGGTGGGGGGGTGACAGCTTTTATGCGGCCGGTTATTTTTTTGCTGAAAAGGTTCTATTGTTAATACATATCTCACTGCCTGGGGATGGGTGAGATGGGGGGTTTACCGAAGGAAGTTTACGACTGGCAAGGTCTTTGTAGCGATCGAGCTCCTAGGTGCGTTCTTGCTAAAATGGTCGTGTACCTGTTTGAAGGCCTCCCAGGTTGATGACTGACTTGGATCATGCATTGACAGGAGATCTACGGATACCACTATCACGGCGTGGAACGCGTGGAAGGTTGCTAGGCCATTGATGTACCATCTGTAAGGTTGGTACTTCCGCTTCGTATTAAGGATGTTGTATATTTCTAAAATCGATGTCGCAGATTCAATACATTGCCTTCTTGAGTCCGGAGCGACAGGATGATTCTCCGCAGACGATTTATGAAAGTATGGACGGTGGAGGAGCAAGAACATCTGGTGCAGATGACCATGTAAGATATACCAATGCACTTGATCGTTCGCCTTCAGCCCGTTCAGTTCCGGGCCGTCGGCCGAGTACTTGCCCGGCCAGGTCTTCTGCTCATTGCGAATCTCCTGATCCAACTCGACGATAGTCGAATAGTCCGGTTTTTCTGCGCCGAACAGCTTTTCATATATCTTGGAGGTGATGCTCAGAAGCCGAAACTTCAGATTTAGATAAGTCATCTGCGTTGGACGTGAGGAAGCTTCCCGCACTCCTGTCCTGGTGATGTCGACGTCGTTCACATCCAACGGCAGGCGCGTCTCAAATTGGGTGGCCCTCATCATGCTCGGTCTGCCGAAGGCAGACGCTTGAAAGGCGTCAAGCATGAGGATCGCTGCCCAGCATCGTCGTCTTTGTTCTGTTTCTACCGGATCCAGCCCAAGATTCGCCCCATCTTTATGACATCCCAACCCTGCCGCAATATTTGCAGTCAAGCCTATGATCACCAATCAACATAAGTATCACATTTCAGAATTATGCGCCCGGAATCACAGGTTTAGGGTTGTTCGTGGTGGGGGGGCGCGGGAAACTTCTTAAAAGTGGAGAGCGAAAAAGAAAAAAAAAATGAGGGATGGTGGAAACCCACCCAGTAATGCCCAACTCATGCCCCCATCGTTAGAATGATTCTTTGAATAAATTAGTAAAATCAAACATTGGATAGTGCTGAGGCGATAGCTCTCCATGAACCGATCTGCAACAAGGCATCTCATCGCTAAATCGCAATATCGTTTGACATAACTACTCAAATCCAAACCCCTGCCTGTCGACATATGCAGATGCTCCTTAAGGACCGCGTCGTTATCGTCCAGTGACATGACACCCACCCCGAGAACAACAAACAAAAGTGCAAGCCATGAGAGTGAAACATCCTTTGGCGACTCCCAGAATGCCCGATAATCCTCCATGAACGACGGCTCATGGAGGACATGAAACAGGGACGCGAAAACCTCGACATAGCGGGAAACGAGATAGTCAATCAGCGGCTTCGGTGGAAGCATAAGAATGAATTCCCCAGCATCTGTGTTTGTCGGCGCCGTGAATAAGGAATACGACGCGGGTGTCTGCTTCTCTACTTGGGGCTGCTGTTGCAGCTGCGTTTGTTGTTGTGGCTTGTTCCCGTCGTTCGGGGCCGATGCCTCCTCCCCGTCGACTTCCCCCTCGCTAATATTCCGTATGGAAGCCTTCAAGTCGCCCATTTCCAACAACACACAATCCCATCTCGACTGGTCAACGTAGGAAGCTCCCCCATTGGTGTCATATTCCAGCGAGGCGTTCGGGCGGCCATTCTTGCTATCCCTGTCGTCCTCGTCGTGATGCCCGGGAGGCGACAGGGTGCTCGACGCACTAGTAGCCGGCGACAGTGGCGGGGGCATAAATGACGAGAGGTCGCTATTCCCAACACCACCACCGCCGCCATTCGGCGGTGAACCGGCCTTCGTAGCCTTCTCTGAGGCGCGGATTTCCTGGACCATGCTCTCGAGTTTCCGTAGTCTCTGGCGTAATTCTGCACATTCCTTAGCTTGACGGAGAGCAGTCCCCTGGGGGCCAAAGGAGCAGAGAAGAGCATCCCCCCTATTCACGCATGTTCCGCATGGTAGTTTCCGATCACACTTTGTCTTCTTCTTGATGCACGTAGCGCAGCTCAGTGGCCTCCTCACGCCGCGGGACCCTCTCGGCCGATTTACTGAGGAAGTAGTCTCGGTGCGGGTGGTGATAGTTGTAGTGGAATGGTGGGTTGTGCGGGAGTTCGCGTTCGCGCCATCCTCAGGACGATGATCTTCCGCTGGCGGGAGTCGAAACTGTGTGAACATTTTCGCAGTTCTTATTGTTTATTACTGTAATTTTCCCTCTTTTCGAAGCTTTGTTGGCTTGCCTGCGTAAGCTAGGAGAATGGAGAAGATGAGGACGAGGAGGGGGGAAGCGAGGGGGTAGTTAGGTGAATGAGCAAATGAGTGAGAGAGTGAGAGAGAGCGAGGTGTCTCACAAGGAGAGAGTTGTAAGAAGGGGTAAGGAAGTTGGAAAGAGTGCTAGCCGTGGAGGTATGGGTATGGTATAAGCAGGACTTGGGGTTAATCTTCCTTCCTCCTTTGTCCGGGTTCTTTTTATCTGCACTCCCCCACACACGCACACCCACAGCACTCCTCACACACGACCACACACGCACAGGAAGAAAACAGCGATCACAAAGCGTGGGGATGGTATGGCTCGCAAGATCTACCATCCAGGCGAATGTGGACCGTGCTGGGGTGGGCAAGACCTTTCACTTACCATATCTATCACAGCTTAGACCACAATTATGCACACAGACGGCGGCGACCTCATAGTTCACACAGCACGAACCCAACAACCCCCTCCGGCCTCGGAGTAAAGTGACTAAGCGAGGGTCTTAGTGATCATGACATTGTGATATAGCTTATCGCAGCATACCAGTACTCGAGTAAATTTATGCCCCACTGCGGTTCATCTACCGGTAACAGTTGGCGTTTGGGTTTTTGAAAATTTTTAATTAAAGATTCAAATTTAAAATTTAAAAGCCCTGATAGGATTAGAAAGAGCAGAGATGTACTGTGCACCTCTATCCTCCTCCCCACCACTCGTAGTACCAGTACCAAGTGTGCCGCCTTTTTTGCATTACCGCCTGCACCCTCATGTACTCGAGTATGGGATATTGACTTCCACAGTGGTGTTTCGGGGTACATTTGGAGGCATGGCATCCCACACCTGAGGAACTCGAAGCACCTCAGCGATGAGCCCTTTAACCTCCCGGGCCAGTAGGAGTGATAGCGCTTAATGCACGGTTTAAGTAAATACCATGCAGTTGAAATTTGCTGGAGGATTCAGAAAAGGGAAGTCAATATACCTTTTACAGTATCACCATGATTTCTCTACGTTTTCCTTGGTTTGGAAGGCATTGTGCGCTAGATTCGTAACTGCGTTGTCTCTGCTCATCTATGATATAGTCTACCCGAGTAGATTACTGTCTATCACACGTCGGTGTTGCGGACTGAGGCTATCACCAAGACCTTTGCTTAGTCACTTTATGTGACACGGAACCCGTGATCGAAGGAAGTAAAATCGCTTTCTCAACCAAATCCAGTACCGTACCGGTATGACCACAACGACTCCTACCCCCCCCCCCCGCCTCTCCCTTAAATTAACATGCCACTGACACATTCCAGAACAGCTGCCTCATGGATTCAGTGGCGGAGAAACATTGTGAAAACCTCGGATGCACTGGTTCCAAAGCATAGTCTACTACTTGCAGATTCAGTTCTTCATCCATACCTCATAAGTTATCATAACTAATTCCTATTGGCCCGACGATCTTTACTACTACCTCCTAACTCGGCCGCGCGAAGTATGATGGATGTCACACCCGGAAAGCCAAGCGCCGGCATCAAGGTTTCTGAGCGATACCTCGGGAAAGGACTCTCTGTTTTAGCAAGGGCAGAAACTTCTCTACTCGGGTATGATAACTACTAGGATCCCTCTTTGGCGCCAGGCTCTTCGCTTCCATAGTTGGCACTCTAGAAAGAACCCGGGCATATGTTAGTAGGGCGGTCTTTCTGGGCCTCAAAAAGGCTGACTAAGTTATTGCTATCCATGGATTCCTTTGATTCGAACTCGGTCTGGCTGGTCGAAATTACCTGTGTATGTAACACGAATTATGCAACTGAGTAGGCCAGATATGCTAATTTTTGGTAAAAGAAAAAGAGTCTGTGGAACTCGTAGCACAGTGGCTGGAGCAAGCACCGTTCTCTGAGTTTTACCAAACACCGGCATAGACTATTGCCAACTAGCGGGTACTATGCTGAATCGGCCTATGCCCCCCAAGGCGCTGCGTTCCATGAGGCGCTGATATGGTACAGTACAGAACTCGTACTAGCCGCGCGACCCATAACATGCATCGAGGGGCCGGCCAGAACATGAGCAACTGCTCGAGCACAGCAGAGGAGCGATAAAACAAAACGGTCTGAATACCGCCCTGCAAAACCTCCACCACAAAAGCAAACCAGAACAAATTGCGCGGTCGCGGCCATCTCCCTTCCACCAATGTGGTAACCCTTCCCTCCAGTACAATGTGCAGTACTCCAATCGCCCCCCCTCCCTCAAAAAAGCCAAAATCAAAAACCTGCTTCTACGGTAATCAGCACAAGCTCTCAAGCACCCAGCTAACCAGCCATAAGAGATTGCAGACGCTCTTTACTACGGTACCCACAGTCTAGCCCATTTGCATCCAATTCGGTCTTTAGCCCCCCCCCTTACTAATCCCTGCGAGGATCTTTTCCGCACGATTCCGGGGTTGTGATGAGTATTTCTCTCTTTGCGCCCTGATTTTGGCTCGGGTCGAGATATTCCGGTACCGAGAACGCAGAGCGAGTATGTTGCGGCAGTGAGAGACGCCATAGGGACATGCTCTGGTATGAATTGTGCTCGATTATTTATGCGCCAGACCACCACGCTCTACTCGAACACCTTGCACTTGTGATATCTGGAACTTTAGTGTACTCGAGTACTCGAGTAATCGGTTATACTTGCGTCGGGGTGAGCTATCACGAGATTCCCCGGTTTTTCCTGCGGTGCTCTCGTATGCACCATACAATAACTCGCAGCCTCAGTTACCAGGGGTGGGGGATGGCGCAAAGCATCCTCCCCACTGATCCGGGGAATTTCTCACCGAAAAACGTTTTCCATCGGCCCCACCTTTAACAGGGCTCGCGTAAGCTAAGGTGTTACTTGTAGTACCGTTTTAGCCCAGCAGGTGGAGTGGCGTCTTGGAAAACTTTGATCCCCTCGGACAAGCAGATTCAGGGCTGATAGCACAAGTGCCGTAGGTTAAAGGGGAGCTCGAAGCTTGTTGAAAACAGTTAAAGCGATCTTCCCCCTCCCTTTCCGTTCAGTACTCGTACTAGGCTTTCTAGGAAGTTTTTTTTTTGTCTCGGAACGGAGATCAGAAGCCTATTTGTATGAGGGGTGCTCAATTTATCGAGTTAATAAGGTACTTCTGCTAGCACAGTTCGGGCACAGTGCAGTGCAGTGCGGTGCGGTGCACCTGTCGTGCGAAGCAACGCTCGTTCGCCCGCTCACTTGCCCGCCATGGCAGCAAAAAGAGGGAGCCTCGCCAAGTGCCGTGCGTGCCGTAGTCGCTCACCCAGGTAAACGCCAGCCAACCAAGCCTCCCCCTCACCATCGAAGGCATATGATGGAAGGTTGTACGAGTACCTTCTACAACTCCTCATATCTATCACCTGATGGGTTCGAGTGCTGCAAGTCAGTTAGAGGTGCGGTAGTACCCAACCGGTTACTGTGTTATCGAGGAACTATCATACAACATCTCCAACATGGGAAGAACAAATGCCGGCAAACCATCATAGATCATCACTCCCTAGACCAGGCAGATCTAACTAGTCAAGCGCGGATTAGTCTAATCCTCATCCTCCCCGACCACTGACTCGCCACCTGTAGACTAGCGAGCTAGTCTAAGGAGCCATCTCGCGCAACATAAGGCAGCTTATCTCCAAACCGACTAACCGCGGCCCCTTAAAGATGGATTAAGTGAGCAGATTTCGAGGCGTGCTGCTCCCATACGAGTACTGTGGATTGGAGATAAACTATGATATATCGCGCCCAATCGCTAGGTCACGCTCTCAGACCTTGCGTGTTCTTCCTTCCTGCCTTTTCGTCCGCGAGCAGACCAAGCACCGTTTGCAGAATCCCATCCCACCAACGCACCGGTAGGATGCTCGCAAGGCTTGATAAATTCACATGTCTCCTTCCACTATCTGTCGGATGGAATATCCAAAAACTATCATGCTAGCCGTCAAAACTCTCCGCATTCGGAAAATGTATAGAATATTAGATGTGGGGGTGGTGAGTTAGGCTACATACATTCACTGGAAGGGGGCTTGTGGTACAGTACCGGTACTGTATGTAAGAGCGAAATCGAGTACGGTACTTTTCATTGACAATTAACGGCACGCACAAGACGCATAGCAACGAAACCCGGCTGGCTAGTCGCTCTGCAAGGTTCGGTTGAGCCCAACTACGAAATGACTCAAAGGTTTTTGATTCTCTGGCAGAATCAATGGTGGATAGGGTAAGGACCGTTATTAACGATGATATTAGCTCTAGTACGAGTATACAATACAGTGTGTGCGTAGTTTTTCTTAGAGTTAGGTACCGTAGAAGACACTAAATTACTATTCTACTTATTCCGTCCGAATTAAAAACATAACATGAGACATTCAGGTTGAATTGAATAGCGAGGAAAATATTAATCTTGCAATATTAATTACTACTTTCTTCACTTCTCAACTTCTCAACGTCAAGAATGCCAGCTGTTCTTGGGTAAATAAAATAGGGACAAATTCTACTCCATAATAAACCAAACTTGTAGGAGGGAGGAGGGAAGGCCTTATTGTGTGATCAAATCACACCAACTTACCACTTTTCATATACAGTAAGTTACTTACTGGTACAGTATCAGACCTTAGAGTATATACTACCGTAGAAAGTTGCCAAAGCAAATTATCATCAATTTTCACAATACCCGTATATACTGTGCTATAGCAGCACCCTAGCCTCCGCTCGCCAACCCGGTCGACAAGCCTCCGAGTCCTGCTTACTCCTCGTACTCGTAGACTACTGTAATTGGTCTAGCATTTTGAGGGAAGGATAAATACATGTACCGGTACAAGTAATTGGCTGGTTCTGTATTGTACAGTACTCGTACTGTACTTGTACTATAAAGAGATTGTAGTTATTTGGAGGAGGACACGCTGAGCCCTGATTTTTTTGTATCATACTCGTACTATAATACAAAGTAATATTACTGGTTATCATAAGGTGCCTAACCCAACACCACAGACCCAACAATGCGAGAGAAAAGAAAAGAAAAGAAAAGAAAGGAAAAAAAAAAAAAAAGGAAAAAAAAAACCAACCCCTCCCCAAACCCCGACTAACTTGCCGGTAGAAGACTTTTTTTCTTCTGCCGGTATTTTTTCGCGCCTTCACCTTGTCTATCATACCGATCTAGTACGTATGATACCCGAAATCTTTCACGAATAAGAGTATGATACAAGTAGTACGGTATCAATAGTAAGGTAAAACTATATAACAGAGCCGATTGTCTTACACACATCGTTACAATAACACCGACATGCAAAAGTAGGTACTGTACAGTACGTATTCCCATGATTTGGTACCCCGCAGGGTATCTTGGCGAAAACTTATTCCAACCTTCCTCCTCCTCTAATTAGGACTGTGGGGTCGGCTACTGTATCCTTTTCTTCCCACTTTCTTCTATCGTAATTAGTAGACTATCGATCGACCCCTTTTGGTTGGGATAATGGGGGTTGGTTGCCTGGGGAGATTGCGGTTGTTGCGCGATCGGTTGCGTCGCCAACCATGAGTTGTTGTTGTCCGTCCCAGAGCTATGTCTATGTTGGGGAATATTCGGGGGAGGCGGGAGGGGATTAAATGAGCGGGGAGGGAGATGACGAGCTTGAGTTCCTGGTATGTACTCGAGTATTGTACTGAGGTATGGTAGTATTGTACTGGGGTATGGTGTGGGGATTGAAGGAAGAAATGAGGGGGAAAGGACGTATTCCACGCCATAGTGAGCCATCTGCAGGCTTGGGCAAAGTGATTGGCTGAACTTTAGTCGGAATTTGAATGCTCGGGTAGTGGCTAGTATTTGGGTAGATGGCCCATCATGAGGGGCGCTAGCTATGAGGTGGAATACTGTATGTTATAAGTGATAATGATGACTGCGGTTGACTGAATTATGAGAATCGTCCCAGGAAACAATATCTCTCAAAGGCTACAATATCGTGATTACTCGTACAAAATACGGTATACTGCGCATTCCAATGTCACTACGCCACGATATACTACGGTAAAAGCAAGAATTATAAGTGTCCTCCCACCTCCTCCCTCCTTCCCATGAAAAGTCCCTACGCACAATATCGCCGAGGAATGAATCGCCACAAAGAAAATATAAATGAAAAGGCAAAAGAGAAAAGGTAAAAAGAGGCGCAGAAAGGGGAATAGTTGTCTGAAAAAGATTCGTAAAAAAAGATTCAAGGCCCCGATAAACTAAGTCCTTCACGGGGGCGAAAAAAGGAGAACAAGAAGAACTACCAGAACGAGCACCAACCTAAAGAAAAGAGTAAACGTTAATAAAGTAAATTGCAAGGGGGGAAGGAAGACGCGATGGCGGATGCATACCGATATAGTGCTGGCAAAGGTTTTCCAGGTTTGTAGCCTGATCGATTAACCTCGCCACCTGTTTGGAGATCTCAAGTTCCTCGCCGGGTTTGAAGTCGGTTCCTAGTAAGGGGAGGGAAAAAAAACCTCCGTGTTAGCATCAATTGCGCGCAAGCACGAGAGGGGGTAAAGTAGAAACTTAAAATCAGCGTACCTGTTAATTTGGCCTTGACGCGCTCGAGCACTTGCAGGGCGCGTTCGTTCTGCGCCTCGGGCTTTCTTGAGGAGTCGTTTTCATCTCCATCTGAAGAATCGTTCCGAAGTCGGAGCAATTCTGGGTGATCTAGTGTAGCAACAATACTACGACGCCTGCCGTTTTCTCCTGGCATACCTGCCGGCCCGATTTCCGCTGGACTCTCTTTCGTTCCGAGGCGCCAGTGCATTAACGGGTCGTGCATAAAGGCTTCTAGAACTGCCATGAGGGATTCCTTATTTTCTCGAAGCACTTTCATGACGGCTTCGCACGTTGTCCTAAAGCTACCTTCGATGTTACTGACCTCCATAGCATAGGTCAACATGCGCGTAAGTCTAAAAGGCACTTTCTCAGGATATTTCTCGCGGTGCATGGCGACCTCAAAACAATCTCCGAAATCGATGTGGACGACTTTCCCAGTAACACGGTCAAGCATTAGATTGGACGGGTGTCTATCGCCAAGCCCAAGAATGTATCCAACCATAGACATTACGCCCAAGGACCTAGTGTAGTTTGTGCGGCGATCAAGCCAGGCTTCAGAGCTCTTGCTCTTCAACCATAAGACTCGGTAAAGATCTTGTCCAGTAGTATTGTCTAAAGCGTACCCGAAAACCTCAACTTTTTGCATAAGTGTCAAGTTGTCATAGTCGGGGGCCATCTGCAACATGATTCTATGCTCAATGTTCAAAAGAATCTTCCGACTGTCCCGATATTCTCTGATCAACACATGTAGGGTGTCGCTATTGGGGACCCATCCAAGTAGGCCTGAATTTTGCGATAGCGGGATGACCGGGTATTGTTGTATATTGAGATGCCTCTTGAAACACTCGGAATCCACGGACAACAAGGTATTTACGAGACCGAAAAGCTGCATAACACGCTCATCCTGGCGGATATCTTCGTGTCCCTTCAAGGCATATTGATAAGGGTTGCCATCACTTCCCTTAATGGTCAACTTTCTGGGCCTCTGCTTGGATGAGATGACACTAAAAGTCGGATCGAAGCTCATGATCCTCACGACAGGTTTGCCGGTCGCATATGTGCCTACAAGATGTCAGATAACAAATAACAGCTATTTATAGAATTTGGGAACCATACCAGGTACGGCTAAGTCAAGCTCAAGGGCCCCTAGTAACTTAGGCGATACATATTGGAGGTCCAAAGAGTTGAGTTGCGGTAATTGTTTGGTAATCTTACGGAATACCTATAGCCAAAAATTAGGGATGACCGGTTTGAGCCGCGAAGAGTGTTACGCATATAATACCTGGTAGTATAGATCCCACGCCTGATTAAGATCCCCAACTTCCCCGGTTCGTTTGTAGGCAGAACAGCACTCTTTAGCCTCGTGAAGATCTCTACCAAACGCCTGGTGGAATGAGATCTCTCGCAGTGTTTCAGGTCCCTGGAGTCATGTCAGCTTTTGGAAATGCGAATTGACATCGTAACACATACCCGTTCCAACATATCATGGAGTGGTTCGAGTGTTTTAAACATCATCTCAATATTGTGATCTCCAAAGTACAGTCTAGAAGCTTCTTCAAGTCCTTCATGCCAAAGCTCATGCCATAAGACTGCGACTCGGATAAGCTCTTGACTAACTATCTCTGCTTGCTCGACTAGTTTCGGGCTATGTGCTTTCATGCTGTCCATAATCTGGGCGGCTGACTTCTGACGTCTTGAGAAATGCGACTTTGCCGCAACAGTCAATGGGTATACTAAAGCTTGAGGATGCGCCCTCCCGACCTCAGCAAGAAGCTGATGAATGGAATGTCTCACTGTCGAGTCAGGTTGGTTGATCCTGGCAATCAGCTGTGGGATGACTTCCAACCAAGTATCCACGCTAACAGTGTTGAAACCATCGGTGACAGCCATATTGACTTCCGGGTTGCCGCCATGCGCAAACCATAGGGTGAGTAGTCTAAGAGTGTCTTGAAGAGAGCTTCCAGCTGAAAGAGCAATCGAACGGAAGAATCCGCTGACGGCAGGAATCACGTGGCTTTGTATCATTTCTGAATTTAGGCGGCCATTTTCCCGTCCTTCTGGTATAGACGCTGCTGTCACCACCTCAAAATTTGCTAGTGCCCAAGCGTGCCATGCTTTGTACCAGTCCTTGTGGAAGTAAGTTGCTTTTTGGTAAGAGTCCAAGATTCTAGAAGAGGTCCGTGGCTCAGCATGCCAACTCTTATGCAATGCTACTTGCCATTCGCCCTGCTTAAGATAACATCTAGCAAGAAGGCGCGTATGCTCATCATCAATTGCTATTGTCATCGTTTGCTGAGGGCCGTGGGAGTGACCATTTGTCATGTTGACTCTTAAGTCATGGGATAGGGAATCTGTGAAATCAAACAAGTGCTGGATAGCCTCCTCCTGCTGTCCGGTAGCCCACATAAATTTCAAGCGTGCATAAGTGACTTGTGGAGGAACAGAAGTGCCTGATATCGACCCAATGCTCTCGTTCTGTGGAAGTAATGAATTCAAGGACTTTTCGGCGAGCCCTATCCTCCCCGACTTTCGGCATAGATTCGAGAACTTTATCCACATGTCCATGTTCTCCTTCGGCGAGATCACGAGAGCCCGTACTTTTAGCATTCGTTGCCAGACTTCTACGTTCCGCTGACACCCCTTGAGGCGCTTGGTCCACGTGCGCCTCATGGTCTCCTGCTTCTCCGGCTGGTTGGTGTTCTGCTTGTAAGTTATAATCTCCTCAAGTTCCGCCAACATTTGAACCCGAACAATCACACTGTATGCCCGGTTGTAGCTCTCGCCAACCAGGGCGCTCAACTCCGTATCTAAACCCTCTCTAGCCTTTTCTATGTGTTTCGCAGCATCCTCGAATTGATTCCTATGCAGTGCGAGAATCGCACCAAAGAAACTCCTATCCGGCGAGTGTTCCTTCATTACCATAATGTATTCATCCATCAACTCCCATTGCCCCAGCCCCCAGGCCGCCGCAGCAGCAAGAGGAGCAATCAAGCGTTGGACATCACGGCCCGCATGCCGCCACTTATCCTGGGCAAGTTGAGAGAGATGATCCCATTCACCGAGAGCATGGAGACATCTCATTTTACCCATGGTTATCTCAAAAGAATTAGGTTCAGTTGCTTCCTTCTCCTGGTAAGCTTTCAGGGCCTCTTCCCAACGTTGCAGCTTCTCGAACCACGATTCACGCAGGGGGACGTCATTATATAGCTGAGCTCGCCGCAGAATACCTATCGCCGCGTCCGACTGCTGCAGTTGATTATTGATACTAATGAGCGCCTCAATAACGCTTGATTGAGGCTCTTGAAGGAATTCTAATTCTTTATAATGCAGGGCTTTTGCATATGCATGACACTTGGCCGCGTACATCCCGAGAGTCCTTATGTCGATGGGTAAGGCTTTGTCATCGTGCTCCATAAACTCCGCAAGATTCAGGAGGATTTGCAAGATCTCAGGTGGAATGTGAGGCGAAACAAGGGCAGTTTCAATGGACCGAACCAATTCTTCCTAATAGAAACTTAGATAACAGTACGCCCAACGAATTAGAACGAGGGTACCCACCTGGTATTGATCATATAACTCAGTCCAACATGACACAAATGCAGCGTTAAAAAGATCTCTGGCCAGGGGATAATATGCCCCTGCCAGTCCAGCGCATGCCCTCAGGGCATGAGATGGTGATTGCTTCAAAAGCTCCACACTAAATCGACGGATCCACTCCTGCCAATCCTCGCGAGTCGAGCGTTGCGATGCCTCCCAAGCGTTTTTCAGATGCTGCTGGTTTACTGGTAACTTCTTTGGTCCAAAGTCTGCGAAAGATACCTCATCAGGGTTTTCGCCATACCTACTTTTGTTAACATAATATATAGTTACAGGGGGGCTATAATATACATACATCTCGTCGGGGCTCAAGTCTTGTGGCAACGGCTCTCCCTTCAGTAGTTTGCTCACAAGAAGTTCATAATTAGTGTGCTGTATCTTGTTCACTTGTAAAATCTAAAAAGTGTCGTTAGTAAATCGAGCAAAGTATCTTTGGATGCAGTATTTCTCACTTTGTTAATCATTGGAATGAAATGAGCATAATCGTGCCCAAGTTGGAACACAAGAGCGCACAGAGTATCGAGAGCTGTCATTTTTAGCTCATGGTTACCTGTCTGATTTCCTGTCATCAAAACCCTCGATAATGGATGCACGATTCTAGAAGCGTGATCGGATATGTTGACTTTTCGGGATAGCCTTGCCACAGTTTCCATCGCCACTTTCCTGGTTTGAATCCGGTGCCCAGGCTTTTCGAACATTCGGACAACCACGGGCAAGATGAGATGCATATATTCCTCACTGCTTGAACCAAATACGACAAAGGCATGGAGCACCTTCTCTGATGGGCCAGGGCGGCTGGGATCTGCTGTCTCTAAAACTTTGAGCATGAGTGGGAGAAGTTGCGCAAGATACACTTTGAATTCCCCCTCTAGGGAATGCGCGATGGCCTCAACAAGCTGGAGGATAGTAGGTTGCAATCCCGATGCCGACTCCCAATAGTCCCTAATAAGTGCGAGGATGCTGGGGAGGAAGTTTCGGATATGTTGCTTGACAATGGAGACTAAAATACTTAACTGATTGAAGTACGGGTCCAGTTTGCTAGTCGGGCAAGCCCGCGTAACCGCGATGAAGCCGGGGATAATTTGTCCGAGAAATGGAACACATTTTAGTCCTAGAGTTTTGAAAATATTCATGATAGCGTCAATAACAGATGAGTGGTGCTGCCCGAGTGAGGGATCCTTAAGCATATTCATCAACGAATTAATAACCACAGTGGAGTAGTACTCTTCATTCGAAGGGGTAAGGCCCGTCATAATCAAGGAAACATCGGTAACTGCAGTGGCCTGATCTGATAGGTGTATCTCCGAGCTTCTCTCAACAGTCTAACCTTGGTTAGCAATCTTCCAGCTCGGTTATAGGGACAAGGTTAGACCTGATGTTTATAGGGATCCAACGCTCCAAGAATACCCATCAACTTGATCGTCTCTTTTCGCAGAGTGGTGTTCTGCTCAGTCTTCACGATACCGACTAAGATGGTGAGAAGCTGTGGGTATTGAACATATGGTTCAATAACATATCCGGAGTTGCTCGCCAACTGCCCTAGGGTTCTGAGAGCTGCATCCCGTTTGGTCGGAGAGCTTTGATCTTGAAGTGTCTCGATGATTAAAGGCATCAGTTCAGGTATATATGGTACCATATCCTCTCCACCAACAGTAGCAAGCTCTCCTAGAGCTGTCAAGATACTTGACGCCACACCTGCGCTTGGATCTCTCGCTTTTGGAAGGAGAACAGTGACCATCGGCTCTACATATGGCCGGATAAGCTTCTGAGACGCCGCTACAAGGTGACTAAGGAGTCTAGCACTCTCCTCCTTGTTGCGGGGGACGCTCGAATATTCCAACTCCGTGAGGAGTTGTATCAGGGTCTTTCTAAGGGATGGTATAACGTAGGCAGGGTTGTGGAGTGTGAGCCTGCCGATAATAGTAATTGCGGCTTCTCGGATCGCAAAAATCTCGTCATTTAGAGCCAAGAACAAGGAACGAACGTTCTCGGCCTTGGCGAGATGTCTATCAAACCGGGCATCTAAAGAAAGCAAAACAGTCTTTCGGATATCCGGATCTGGAAACGAATGAGCGATATGTTTAGGGTTTTCAGGGAATTGGCATACCTGGATCAGCAATCGCTACCGTCAATAACTTCTCCATCACTTCGCCAACGACCTGAATTGCGTGATTACTAGTCTGGAAGCATATGGGATCGCGGACAAAAAGTTGACAGCAAGTTAATGCTGCTGCTTTGCGGACCTCTGTATTGTCGTCTTCGACGTATTTCATCGCAATGTCACGAACGAACTCATTCAAAATGTGGTCTGGTATGTCAGTCAGGGTCCCTGGCACCTCCCCTACTACGGGAGATCCAGATGGGAAGGGTGGCGGTGAAGGCCTACTAGTAAAATCAAAGCTTCCCAAGGTATGCAGAGCAAGAGTGATTTCTGCATCCCTTTCCTCTGGGGTTTGCCCATCTCTGTATTGCTTTCCGGCAGCGGTTGAGGGAGCCTGAGGCGGTGTAGGGCTCCCTAGAGGCTTGAAAGATCGTCCACAGAGAACCATGCTGATCATATTAAGGAGTCTCTCCTGGATTGTCGGCAGTAAAGGGGGGAGGTAGTGGGAGAGATCGACCAGGGCTTGCGTAAGCTTTACACTCAGACCGCAAGCAAATATGAGGTCTAAGAGGTCGTGCATGTGCTTCGTCAAAGCCTGACCAACTGCAGTTGCTAACATACTGATGCACTCGAATATGGGCGCTTCTTGTTCTGCACGCTGTGCACGATTTCTCCTATCACATATCAGCACCACGGATGAGGCAGGATGTAAGAACCAAAAATACCCTTTCATCGTTAAACCATCTTTGATGCTTGTCAGTATGTGATCGAGGTACGGCCCCATACTGCTGCCAACAGCCAAAGCTACGTCTCCGATGGCCTTGTATGCTGCCCCTCTGTCCTCGGAGTCTTTCTTCTTAAGCTGTGTTTGCAGATGCATCATGAACTTATGGAGATAAGAATTGACGAATTCCACTGGGTTATATTTGGCCAAACAGGGAATCATCTTCACAGTCAGTTTTCTTATCCCATGATCCCGGTTATCTTTTAGTCGCAAGACAATATCACAAGTTTCCCTATAACTTGCGCCCATGAACATCCCAGCGGTGTCGAGTAACTGTGAAAATATTAAAAGACTCCCGTGAGTGGCATCGGTGGTGCTTATTCTCAACCCTGATCTCGCCTCTTCCAAAATCTTTGCGTACCATTGATCGCGGTTCTTCTGGTCGCGGTTTTTCATAATCCCGAGGCAAACACCCAAGGCTTCCGCGGCAGTTTCCCGAATAAGGACCTTTGGGTCCCGTAAAGCCACCCATATTAAGTCCAATATTTGACTGAGGAAACCGTAGATAAGGGTAGGTGAGCTTCTGGCTAGTTCCCTCAACAACAGCACTGAAGCAAACCGTCGATTTTCCTGTCTGTCAACCTGCAGCCACTCTAACGCTTGTTTCACCTCGCTCTCTACCAACTCTGAAGTTAAGGTTCCTCCAGGGGCAGCAAGCTGTCCCAGAGTCTTCGCGGCAAGAACCATGCAGTGGTTGTCATTTCCGCGCATGATGCTGCGCAAATAGTTGGCATATCGTGTAGTCTTCTGTGTGCTATCGTCATGGTCGACATCAATGAGTACACCCAAAGCAAGGATTCCTCCAATCTTGTCGACGCTATCATTGCTGTGGATAAATTCCGAGACTCGCCGATTCACCTCCGCATAGTACCGGGCAAACCCCTCGCTTGAATGCTCTATAAGCTCCGTTAGCATCAAGTTAGAACATCCGAACCGGCAGTCTTACCTCGAGAAACAACCTCTAAGTGTATCTTCAAATCATTTGTCGCCTTCTGTCGTATTTCCTCATGCCTACAACAAACCTCACAATCAGCCACGCACAGGAAGACAAGGAGCTGAGCCATCTCGCGTACTTGCTACGGATATCTGTAAAAATCCTCCCCAGAGTGTCGAGCTGCGGAGAAGCCATGACGGCTTCAAAGTCTGAGAGAATCGTCAAAATATAGAAAGAGTTTAAGTGACTAAGGAATATGTAGGAGCGGAAGATGTGCTGGTGTTGCAATGGTGATGGTGGAACTCAGTGTGAAGACATGTGGTTTAGCTTTCCGTGGTAACTTTAGGTGGAGACGTGCTAAATGTGAAGAATTACATTACATAATCATACAATCTGACACGCAATATTGTGTGGGAGAAGGGGATGGGGTTTCGCGGTGGGTGAGGCTGAAAATCAGCGATATGAGAGAGCCCATGATACCGGTAGACTACCGGTACCGGTATTATGATATTATTCGTATCGTACAAATATCGTACTTGTGTCATACGACCAGTCTCCGGGCGATTGAAGTCGATACCGGCATTATCCGGAGCTCTTATCATATCAGAGTTAGGCAGTGCGGCTGCAGCTTAACTCGCGACACCGTAACTTGATATGGCATGATAGTCTATCCAAAGCCTCTTCACTCAAGCGATCCAGTCTGACATAATTACTGGTACTTGTACGGTACCGGTACTTTCGATATTAAAATCGAGATTCCAAAGCACGCACCGGGAGAAGCTTAGCACCGTGACCTAAAATACCGAGACCCTCTCCACTCTACGACTATCCATCTGTTGGTCAACTACCGCACCGGTACTCGTGAAATGAGCGAATTACCCTATCACACCTTTGAGTGTTTCACTCGTAAGGCGCACTACCGGTGTTGTAGAACGCATTTTCGCTGGGCTGGGAGAACAGATGTGACAGCTGTACGCTAACGCTAATACCGTACCAGTAACACCAGGTCCACCCTATGGGTATGCAAATAATACAGTACGGGCATATCCAGGCCAGGATTTACGAGTAGGTGCCGGTACCAGCATGTCCTTTGTGATTTCGATGAGATACGACACCCATATGGTCACACACGGCTTCTATGATTCATGGATATTGCCCGTCCAGGCGTTAGCAGGCAGCGCCTCGTGATTTTAAATTGAGGTAGAAATAAGCCTGGGTTTTTGGGTATGAGAAGTTATGAGTAAGCTCAGGAACCCATGCGGTAGACGCTGCCGTAGAGTAGATGATATGGCACATCTCTCACACTGCACGGACGCTATCTTGTTCTAATCTTTGCCCAATAATTCGGTCTAGTATTCTTCACTTATCGGGTCACCGTAGACTTCGTAAGAAGGAATAGAAATAAAGCCGTTTGAAGGATTATATTACAGCACCATTTTCATCTGCAATTCCCGATACAATGCCTGTCAACCTTTTTCCCACTAGCTTTAACATCTGATGATAACAAGACAAAGCATCCAGACCCCAACCCCCACCAACAATCTCCCGTCTATCTTCCAAACCCAGGAGGATGTGGAGGAAATCCTCTGCCGCCCTGAAAGCCTGGTGGAGGCTGGAATCCGGGAGGCGCGCCGGGTATTCCACCTTGAAAACCTGGGGGGGGGGCTCCGGGAAACCCACCTGGCGGGGGAGCGGCACCCATCGGAGGTGGGGCCTGTCCAAGACCAACATTCCTCATGGGACCCTGCAAGCCCACAGGCCCACCCATCTGTGGTGGCAGCCCTCCCGGAGGTGGGGGAGCCCCCATACCAATGATCGGGAGCCCTCTCCCGGCAGGCCTACTGATGCCCGGTCCGGCAGCCGCAACACCAGCAGCCGATGGGCCACCAGCGGTAGTCGTGCCTAAACGAGAAGAGGGATCCGCTGGGGGTGGAGACTCGACGGATAAAGAAACAATGTGAAGTCCTCGCAAGATGATGAGACCTAGGGTGCGCTTTTCCTCGGTGATCTGACCTACGGTGCTGGCAGCTGGAGCGGTAGTTTTAGGTTTTCGTTTGATGCGGCGGAATTCTTCGGTATCTGCTAGAACGACATTCATGTGCTAGACGACACCATTAGCTCGGTTGATAGGCATGCAACGCTTGTTTATAGGCACCTTGTCAAACGCTAAAAGCGTCCCTGTTAGCTGGCGGCCATCGGTCATTGTCACCCGCATACGATAGTTGATCTATACATCCGTCAGTATTATGGAGGTATATCACAATCATCTGAGACCAATTCTCCCACGGGGTTGGTAGTCACGTACGAGGTTGGCCTAGATTCAATCAGCGTCTTTCTCCGCGTCAACGAAGGCATCTCCAGACGCCAAAAGGGTGAAGGAGAAGACTCACCATTTTTCCTTGTTGTTTTGAAGACATGATTGCTAGCGGGATAGGACAAGCCGCCTTTAGAGCTCCTCTAGTCACGATGATTGAATAAAGTAATGAGGCTCGCGAGGGTGGGATGGTCTCTAGAGAAGGATAGACGCAAAGCGGGTGTTGTTGTCGATGTTGGCACCCAAGCTCAAATGCTTGGCAAGACAGAAATAGCTGACTGACCTTTGAGTCAGCCTGCATATCTCAAGCCCTACCACCAGTGTGGATGTGACTGCCCCCACCAACAAACTGGGCAGAATTGAAGGTGAGGGAACTCTCCGATGCAAATTAACGATAAATGCTAACGGACGACAAGACGATCAACGCTGAATACCCCCCCCCAACAACAATCAGCAAACCAGATAATAAACACAATGGTCAGTTCCGCAATTTTGTTCCTGCCCTCCCAACTACGTTTCTTCGAAATCAACACACTTCTTTAGATTTGAAAAAGGGTAATATACTGACGAGAGTGTCTTGAAAAATAAAGGCCGACACCAAATCCAAAGATGCCAACCCCATGCGTGAGCTCCGCATTGAGAAGCTTGGTTTGTCCCCATAATCATCCTCGTCGTCATCGGAAACCCACAGCCCGGGCACTCGGTCTCGAAAAGAAAGAATACCAGGAGCTAATGAAACAATCAGTTCTAAATATCAGTGTCGGAGAATCCGGGGATAGGCTTACTCGTGCCGCCAAGGTGTTGGAGCAGCTTTCTGGTCAAACTCCCGTATATAGCAAGGCTCGTTACACCGTCCGTACCTTCGGTATCCGTCGTAACGAGAAGATTGCGGTGCACGTCACTGTCCGCGGACCCAAAGCTGAAGAAATCATCGAACGTGGGTTGAAGGTCAAGGAGTACGAGCTCCGTAAGAAGAACTTCTCTGAGACTGGCAACTTCGGCTTTGGCATCTCCGAGCACATCGATTTGGGAATCAAATACGACCCGGCTATCGGTATTTACGGAATGGATTTCTATTGCATTATGTGAGTGCCGGAGTCAATCCAGGAGCGTTCGTCTTGGAGGGGGTTAAACCATGTGTGGGCAAATACTGATGGGTGGAATTCAGGTCCCGTCCCGGTCTTCGTGTTGCCAAGCGCAGGAGGTGCCAGTCAAGAGTCGGTGCTTCGCATCGTATCAACCAGGCCGACTCTATTAAGTGGTTTAAGGCCAAATACGACGCCACCGTAAGGTAGACGAGCTTGGCTTTGGGGGGGTTAAACAAAACACACGAAAATGGAGCGCGGTGGTGGGGAGTTATTTTCTTCTGTTTTTTTTTTTTACAACCTGTACTTCAGAACTTTTCAAAGGATGATGTCCGGGGCATTCTCAGGCATCAAACGGGAAAAATTACCCATCCCATGAACAGGATCGCACACTTTGTACCGAGGGATTTACCAATGGTGTGCGCGGTGGATCTACCACGGACTTGCTACCACAATCCGCCCTATTATCTCTGAACATCAATTTACTTCTCACCTACTACAAAGCACCTAGGCCTTGACCGCTCTAGGGTATGGAGGGCTCGGACCCTAGGCTAAGCCACAGAATGTCGAAACTTGTCTTCAAAGAGACAAAACGCGAAGCATAAACACAACCACGACCTCGTACAATACCGGTACAAGGCGATCCCCAATATAACAAACTTTATCCTCACCCATGGAAATATCCCCCATAAAGCCTTCGAATAAGCCCTCCCAGTGCCCACACCACCTACGGTTCTACACGCGACAATTTTTTCAATTTAAGTGGCATGAGTGATTTCTTGTGATGGCAGGTTACCGTCCATAGAGTATCTCGGTTTTCCCCCTAACGCTTGCTAATCTGATATATCCCTTTTGCGAACTGCACAATGCCACGGGAGCAGTCTCTACCCAAACATTAAAAGGCACAAAGCCAGCACCGGCGGCACTACTCAGTACCTGCCCCGCGGCTGGGAATCCATCCTTTGGCGCTATGCCGGTGTTCATGACTATTTGGTTGAGTGGGTTCCTAATTTTATGCCAACTTTCATGGTCCCCTGCAGAAGATAGATCGTGGCTTTATTCCTAGTGTCGGCTGCTTGTGAATTACACTCTAGCCCTCGGGTGTCTCGAGTTGATGCCAATTCTGCTATCGTTGTGGCGCAGGAGCCTTATGACTGCTTAGCATTTCCTTGCCGCTCCATGTGCCAAAGTTAAATTTAATAATGGTACGAGTAGTTCATGATATCCCCCCTCAGAATTAACATCAACCCCTGGCTTGTTCTAAGTACTTGTAAAGTTGAGAGAAAACCGAAAACTCCTTTATGATATCATTCTCAAGAAAAAAACCCCACTTTGGTTGTGACTCTTCAAATGCGTTTCTCCCATCTCGGAGAAAAAAGTTCTAAAAGAAGAAGCGTACCCATCCGACAGGGCCTCTGCAATTTGCCCACCCAACATTACCCTTTCATTCTCGCTTGCCGGAAGCTGTTCCAACCCAATGCTAAAAACGCATGAACCCTGGAAAGGCATGTCTAATATCATGGACATACAGGTATCATACGGTTGTTTATCCACGTGATTTGGTGGGGTTCCTCGGTAAATAACCATCCTCCCCAACCTTTCCCCCTTCCACCCCCACCATCCCAAACCCCCCCAAGTTCAACCCACACAAATCGAAAAAATGTCTACTTCCTCCACTCAGCGGGAAAACCCCACCCACCCAGAATACCAGTACCTGGACCTGGTCCGTAACATTCTAACCAACGGCGAGCACCGACCAGACAGGTGCAGTACAATACCACCCCTTCTATACTCACCCACGAAAAAAACACAACCTGACAAAGCCCCACCAAATAAATAGAACAGGAACGGGCACAATCTCCCTCTTTGCACCCCCACAGCTCCGCTTCAACCTGAAAAACCACACATTCCCCCTCCTGACGACAAAGCGCCTCTTCCACAAAGCCATCCTTCACGAGCTCCTCTGGTTCATTTCGGGCTCGACCAGCAACGCCCCGCTCTCGGCCGTGGGCGTGAAGATCTGGGAGGGAAACGGGTCGCGCGCTTACCTGGACAGCATCGGGCTGACGGAGCGCGCGGAGGGTGACCTGGGCCCCGTCTACGGATTTCAGTGGCGGCACTTTGGCGCAAAGTACGTCGACTGCCACACGGACTACTCGGGCCAGGGCGTGGATCAGCTCGCCGACGTCATATACAAGCTCAAGAACAACCCCTACGACCGCCGCATCATCATGAGCGCTTGGAATCCGGCGGATCTGGCGAAGATGGCGTTGCCGCCGTGTCACATGTTTGCCCAATTCTATGTCTCGTACAAGGAGGGGAAAGGTATGGGGGCGCTGAGTTGTGTGTTGTATCAGAGGAGCTGTGATATGGGGCTTGGTGTCCCGTTTAATATCGCTTCGTACGCGCTCCTCACGATAATGATTGCGCATGTGTGTGGCCTGGAGCCTGGGGAGTTTATACACACTATGGGGGATGCGCATGTTTATGCCGATCATGCGGATGCGTTGAAGGGGCAGTTGGAGAGGGCCCCTAGGGAGTTCCCTACTCTCAAGATCAATAGGCAAGTGGATGATATTGATGACTTCAAATTCGAGGACTTTGAACTCGTAGGGTATGATCCACATCCTAGTATCAAAATGAATATGTCTGTATGACGAGGAAGCAACTCTGGCTGGGTCGTAATTAATGATACTTGATACTATGTTTTTTCTTATTAACATTGGCACTGGACAAAAGAAAGGTCTATGGGAAGCCTGAGTGGAACCGTAGGCCTGAGTAAGGTAGCGTGAAGGGAAAAAGAAAAAACTCCTGATACGCCAGCCGGTAAAAACACGGTGAAAAAGGTGAAAAGAATCCGAAAAATACCACCATCAATCCTGATCGATACCTGAATACTACAAAAGAAATCACTATCAGAGGGGTAGGAGGGGAGATCACCAATCCGTTCCCATATTTGTAACCCGATTTCATTAGACCCAATGTAGTAAGAAAGCCAGACCAAAACTTAATCCTTAAAGTAGCTTATCCCCGTTCTTCACTCCATCACCCCGCTCCCTCCGAGATCTGGGCAGTCTCTCTCTGACAACCCTCCCGTCACCACGGGCAGTAGAACTGCCCATCCTCCAATTCCCCGCAGCCCTTTCCCCACTTCCACTACTACCTCCAGCATTTCCACCCCCACTACCACTTCCATCATCATCCTCAATCTCAAATCCCAGCCTCTGTGTCAGCTCAATCAAATCATGCGTCGCGAAATCCTGTGCCTTGGCAGTCCACTTCCTCACAAACCCCTCAATCACCCCACCGACATTTTCCAAACCAGCGCTAGTCCCCTGGGCAAGCTCCATGAGCGTCTTTGTGATGGATTCTTCTGCGTGTAGTACCACCCCCGCTTCACCTCTAGAGCCTCCGAGGGCACCAACACCGGGAGTCATTCCTCTAAACACACTAGCTTCGTCATCCGATGGTGGGGTGCCGAAGCCGGTGGTCGCATTAGTAAACACGCTCTCTTTTCGCCGACGCGGTGGAAAGTGTGAGAGTTTTTTGCGAGCGAGGCGGGCGATCTCGACTTGGCCAATGCCGTCCATCACTACGTAGGATTCGTGTCGGTAACCGCACTCTTCTGCAATGGCCTCCTCTCCGGGTGTGGGCTTTCTTGGGGGGGGTGGTAAGTTTTCTTGCTGGTCGCGAGTGGGGTCTAGGTTCAGCAGGTCCATGGGTTTCCCTTTAACACCGCAGTCTTCAACCGGTAGGAGGAGAATTTTATGTCGTTGCACGCTGTCGTTTGGCCACATTCCGTTCGCACGGCGGAGGGCGCTGGCGTGAATGTTATACATAATCACTACGCCCTCAAGGGTATCCGTGGGTTTGACATGATGGACGTAGGCCAATGTGTCCCTTTCGCTCTCGGGCGCGGGGCCGCCTGTGGGGTCCGGGGAAGTAGATCTTTTGTAAGAAATTTTTCGACCCCTGGTGCTATTCTGTGACGAAGGCTCGCCGAGGACGGACCCCCGAGCGGAACGAGAAGGTGCATCACCACTACCACTGCCACCAGCACCTCTTGAAGAGTCAGCCACTGAGATGGGAATTCCCCCTAGCCAGCTTCCCGAACTATGGCTTCTCCTTCCTCCACTACCCGTTGCCGTCGTTCCATCCGTTAGTCGTTTCCTCCGCCGAATAGCCGCCGCCGATTCGTGCGGTTGCATTGGGGGAGGATCCGACGTAGCGGCTACCACATCGCTGCCCAGAGCTGAACTTGCCAGACCCTGTAGAGCACTCCATTGAACGCCCCATCCATTACCCACGCTACCACCACTTCCTCCACCATTTGTTGCTGCTATGGTCGCTATCATTGCGGTCGTACTCCCGTTGCTCTCCTGAGAATCCAAAGCTCGAGATGGGTGCTTTGCAGGTAATGGTTGGTGAGACTTGTTCGCGGCGGATGCAACGGAAGTTGGGAGGGAGGATGAGGATGAAGTCGAGTTCATCCTGCTGAACGTAGTAGTCGTGGAGGTAAATGCATGTATGATAAAATTCAACTATTACCCGTCTTTTTGTTAATATTATTATTGAGACGTGAAGGATGAGCTTGCGTATGTGTGATGAGGGTTTGATTTGGGTCGCTAGTGGTGGGAGGGTGGGTGGGCAGCAGTGGTAGTGGCGCCGGTAGCGGTGCACACTGGTGGCACCGGTAATGTGAGACGTTTAAAAGGTTGGTATGGATGGCTCGGTCTGGGAGGCGGGAAGGGATGGAAGGAAGGGGGAAGGGGGAAGGGATGAATGGGCGATATGGCCACTGTCTAGCACCTTTGGAGAGGGGGGGGTATCGTAAGGGATAGGCAGTTTTCTTTACATTCTTTATTCGTGCGGTCGAGGACCTGGTTCGTTGAATACCGTACCGTGGTGTCGAAGGCTGCAGGAGTGAAGGCTTTCTATTCCGGGGGTTTGTTTTGACCAACAGATGTCTTGGGTTGGGTGGATTCTGGTGAACAGGTGTCACAGAGATGGCTTGGCTCATCTTTGCTCACTCGATGTGGGTTTTTTGACCAGCTCATTTTTTTTTTCAAGTTGTGTATCATACAACTATGAAGAGCATGACTATTCTGCTACTGTGTTCACACAATGGTCTTTGTTCAGCATCTATTAGGTCAAACAAATCTAGTACCAGTAAGGTGTCCAATAGATAGACTTGGCAGCAACAGCTGCATATGGGTGAAAAATCAGCCGGAGCCTCTAGATTTTGGTGGTATGCAATAGCAGTCGAGCTCACAAACATCAGCTACCTCGGTGCTGTCAGACTTTGGGCATCTCGTAAAGCAGTCATTCTCTCCCACCGTCTTGGCGCCAAGACATTTGGTGGGCATAAAAAGGGAGGGGCAACTCGAATCCTGCACCACACTGCAACCTTTCCTCTCCTTTTTTCCTCTACTCGTGCCAAGGTTGTGACATGTCGTCACAACCCCCATTGCTCGTTTTCTCGCAAACTGGGGCACTCATACTCGGTACCGCAAAATTTTATCACCTGTTTGCAGAGTTTGTCAGACTGTTCGAAGAAGCAAATTATGATCCGGGGTATCTCGTTAGGGATCCTACCCCACTAAGCGGGGCCTACTCGTCGTTTGTTTCCTGCCGGAAATCTGAGGTGAAGCGAACAAAGAGGGTCGCATGAGATCATGGCAGAGATGAAATCTCTGTGAGGGTCCCTTAGGGCCTGTTCGGCGGGAACGGAAGGCGGGTCGACCGTTCCGTTCACACATACAAAACGACCATTTCGAAAAGGAAGGACGACCATTTTTGTATGGGGAACGGTCACAAACTGAACGGAACGGTCGTTGCCAAACAGGCCCTTAGCTGCATGTGGGGGAGGGGAGGGAGAGATAGGGGTGGGGGAATGGCAGGGGAGGAGGAGGTTTCTGGGCTGTGGACTGTTCGCGTTGTGGGTAATACCAAGTTTCGGAATTTCATTGCCTTCAGTTGATCCAGTGAATTGCGGGAGCGATGGTTGAAAGTAACACAATATCAAAAATACGATTAATGACATCGGTTCCTTCTGTGATGCACTGTGTCTTAAGCGCCAAATATGAGGCACTTTCCACCAAGACTAATGCAACTATCATGGAAGCTTCTCTCAGCCTTACCGTAAAAACACTCGAAATCCGCAATCTTGGGCGGCCTGCTAATCTCCGGATTCTGAGTTAAGACACCCGGAGGGGGATTAGCGCTTTCCTAACACAGTAACAGATCTTCCCACTTGACACCTTGGATCTTGCTAACCGGTATTCGCAATTCCATTAGCCTGTCATGCTAAACCTATCCAGGGCCAACGCGCTGATCATATAACACGGCGACTAGCTCAATGATGCAACGGAGGGTTTCCGGGTGACCCGGCCCAAGAACCCTCTCTCGCCCTGCAAGCACCCGCCAACACCTCATCTCCGCCTCATAATGCTTTCCCCGTTTGTACAACACGCCAGCTAGGTTATAGACGCACAGTGGGGTATCTTGATCATCTAGTCTAAGAATCTCCTGTGCACCCACGAAATCACGCCGATACATAACCTCCGCTTCATCGTGCCTTCCCTGATTAGATAGTGCCACCCCAAGATTATTGACACTGAGTAAGGTACTGGTATCTCGATGAAGTGGTCCAAGTATCCTCTCCCTGCCAGCCAGCACATGTCGGCACATAATCTCCGCTTCCTCATACTTTTTCAGATCAAGCAACGTTTCGCCTAGCTTATTTACGCTCTCAAGTGAAAATGGAGGATTGGGCCCCAGTGTCCCCAACGCACGCCGATACGTAATCACCTCTTCTCCATACTTCTTCTGACCAGGCAGCGCTACAGCTGGACCATGGAGGCTCAATATGGTGTCCACATCATACGATCCAAGAGGCTCTCTCTTCTGCCTGTATATGCATATCGAAACATCACCTGTGCTTCCCCGTACCCCCCCCCCCCGGTTACATAGAGTGCGACTGAGGCTATCAGCACTTGCGAGGGTATATGCATGGTCTTCTCAGAGAGCTTTCTCCCTACCAGCCAGTGCACATCGACAGACAACTTCGGCTGGCACATACCTTTCCGGAACAAGAAGCGTTTTGCCTAGCATATTCATGGTATCGAGGGCAACGGGATTGTCAGGCCCCAGGGCCTTCTCCACAGACTCCAGGGCACATTGATACATAATCTCCTCTTCTGTCTATGATACTTTTTCTGATTAAGCAGGACCACGTCAGGGCCACCGATCCTCCATAAGAGGACACCTTCGTCTACCTTTCCCACCTCCTCGTCTCGATCCTAGCGAGCCTGTGGATAAACATGCTCCACCGGAACGGCGTCCGGGTCTTCAGCACGTTCATCGTGAAGCACCATGCCGGGTCCATCGCTCTCTCCTGACTGCTGGATAAAGACTTGCAGGATGAATCCATATTCACAACGCAATTAGCACTAGCTGCAGAAACCTACTGACTCGACGGATGGCCAATGAAAATCAAGGCCTCATTTCCCGGATAAGGTTTTAGGCCGGGTAAGTTGCAGGCGTTCCTAAAAGAGCCCAGAAGCCCGGTGGTGGAATTGGTTCCTGGCGGGCAGGTGATATGGTATGATTCTCTAACAGGGCTGGAGAGAGTGGGCTTACTTTGCCCAACATGCAGTTATTCAGGTTCACTGACAAACTATTTACGAATCATAGGTTGCGTGAGCCGCGGTTACAGTCTGCAAGTATCATGGCCTACTCTATGAATCGGGTACCTGATATATGTACTAGGATAGGCTAGGCTACTTCGGTCGGGGATCACTGGGTGGTGGGAGCTTCGCGGTTGGTGAGGCACTCTCTGCTATTCGGAAGGCAGGAACAACAGTGGCACTCTTCGCGCCTGGATGTACCTACAAGCACTTTAATGGTAAGCATTTTGAAACCATCGACTGGAGATTTTTCGTCGGTGATGGGGGCGACATCGAGGGTAGCCCTATGAAGCCAGTTTCGCACTTTGTCTCGGAGAAAGCATGTGGTGGTTCGGAATTCTTCGCGGATTTCGATGGGGGATTTGGGAAGGGGGGGGTGGGTTGATGGTGTTGTCTGTTCTACCACCCGTGCGCGCTCCCCAACCTCATGCCGTGCCAATATAAATATTTTTTGTATGGTGGAGGGTCCTGGATACACCATGAGTGCACATGGGTACGCAGTCAATCCTTCCATCCAAGAGCCCCCGGATCATGGATAGGTTAAAGTGGTTGTTTTCCGACGAAACTGCTTACCCTGGCGATGCGGGTCTGGATATTTTTACAGTTGCTGCTACCCCAACTGCGAACTCATGGATCCTGGGGGGTCACCACATTCCCACCCCTAACTGGAGACTCCAGCGAAACAAATAATAGAGTTGGGCATCGACTACGACACCTTCCCACCCTTGCCGCCCCCGGATATAAGGTCTTGACCTTATGAAACCTCCATGTATCCCCAGCGCCAATCATCGCCAAACGACTGCCCCGCATCACAGACATGGTCTCCACACTCGAAGGGGACGGCAGCATGAAGCACAGTTGGGGGGTCTACAAGAATGACTTTTCACCCACATTAGAGAAACTGCGGAGCGTGCCTTGCTGCTTTAGTCGGAGGATGGGGGATTTGGCGAGTTTCCTTGTACGGAGGGGTGGGGAGTTGTTGAGGGTTAGTTATTGCCTTGAGTATAATGTCGCGGCTAGAGTGCCGATTGGTGATCGGAGGGCTGATAGGGTAATGTGCAGTGGGGATGTTGCTAGGGCTAGTGGGTGGAGGGGGAGGTAAGGCGTTTTCCGGTATACAGGGAAGGAAGGAGGGGGAGGGAGGAGGGGGAGGGGGGAAGCGCTGTGGGAGTATTTTTGTATCAGGGTTTGAATTTGTATGATTAGGGATTAATGGGAATGATTGTCAACTTCTTTGTCTTTGATTTGCTATAATATGAGAATATGTGTCACCTAGCACTGCGCCCAACCCTGCATATCATCCCAATACCTTCTACCCTTGCCAATCCCAATCCCTCCGCTCAAACCCGTAGTAAGCAAATCTACAAGCACAGAATACACCTGAAAACCATTCACTTCATCCAGACTTCCTCAAGTCTGGGTAAAATTCTGATTCGAGCTTTTGAATCTTGGCCCATAAACGGGGGTAGAGGTGTCAGTACCGCTGCGTTTCTGTTTGGGGGTGGGAGGTGAACATAGCTCACATCAGAGATCTGTTAGGCCGTTCTGGAGATTCAATGCCGCATCTTCTGCCACCATATGTCCTAATAGAGAGAGAGCCTTTGAAATGTTTGCAACAATGTTGCTGTGAAAGTATTTGAAGCTGTGCATTATTTATTATCCAGGGTGCCTCACAGCTGTTCTTCAGTCATTAGCATCTTTGGCTCCTCCCAACACTTGGCTTCCTGATCTTACACACCGTCATCACCCCCTCCATCATCATTAGGACCGAGCAAGTCTCTGTCTACATCGAAGGTATCATCTTAGTGGCTGATGTTTTCTTCATTCGATATAGCCTCATCACCCGGATCTGTTCCAGGTTTCCTGCCAGAGCTTGGATCATCGACACCTTCATTTCAGAGGTATCATGTGCCCCCTCCTTCGTAGCCGAACTGCTGAGAAATTCGAACCCCCAAAATCTATTCCCTTCACTTCCAAGAGCATCATCATTACCAACGTCATCATACACGCCGGTTGGGATTTTGTCACTCTCTCTATACCCTTCCTTCCTTTCATCTACATCGTGCTTGAGCCCGTAGGTATTGCTGTCCTCGATATCATCATCGGTTCCATCCATTTGGTGGCCTTTGCCTTCATCTTCGCGGAACTTCTCGTGACTTATTCGAGCACTATCGTGTTTGTGGTCTAAAAGGACTGGGTTTTCTTTCCACAACTTACTCTTTCCATCT